TTAAGATTTGGTAATCCCAAATATTTGTCTACATAGGAAGTGCTATTCAAAATGGCCGATGGAGTGAATTAATTTGCATATTTGTTACTTCAACTAGCTTTATTTCCACTTGACAATACGCTGTGTTAGTTTTTATTGCATTTAATTGTACCTTACTACTTTATTGAATTTATGTAATGTTTATTTTATTGAAGAAATGGTTCCTCTAATTGATAATTTTGTGCAAAAAATTTCACTGCAATTTCCACAGGACAGTAGTTGACAGTTGGATACTATACTAAGTAAATACTGGTAACTAGATACACTGTATCATATCATTTCTTTATTTGTCAAAAAGTCATGGTCAACATTGTTTACTTCCTGTAAAAGCTATCTGGATTTTGATATAATAGCTTTCCAACGACGCACTGGACAGTAGAATACTAGTGACCTTTAAAACATGGATAATGCTAATAGCGGCTTATTTCTGGTCTCTGTGTCCTACATCAGTATCATCCATCCATGCAAGTATTGGAGCTCTGAACTACTTCTTTTTCGAGCAAGACTTGTAAATTGTTCATCGTGTGAATGTTTTTACAATCCATTTCCAATATGGCGGTTTGCTAGGTAGTGAGATATGCAACGAACGAAATGAATTTTGAGAATGAGGTAGGTTTGGACAACCTCCGCCATATTGGAATTGGGCAGAAAAAACAATCATTCGACTAACAATTACAAGTCTTGATCGAAAAGGAAGTACTTCAGCGCTCCGATACTTGCAAGGATGGATGATACTGATGGGGATACACAGTACTGTCAACCCCCAAAGATTTTCTCGCGGGACAGACTTTTTAGACCCAGTGACCAAAATTCGCGAGACATTTGAGGGATTTGTTTGGATCGCGCTAATAGGCCAAATTTTTTATCAAATTCGCGGGATTTCGCGGGACATTCAAGGGACAAACACCCTAATTGCGGGACACTTAACAGGGTAACCACCAAAGACTTCATAGAGGGACAGATTATTTAGACAAAGAGCCCTAAATTTGCGGGATTTCACGGGACATTCAAGGGATTTGTGTGATTGGGAATAAATGTAAAAGTAAAGTTCAAATCAAACTTTCAGATAAGTCTACTGATTTATCAAATTTAATGTACTTTATCTCACATTGTAACTTAAATTAAAGTCAACACAATTTCATACAATACGCATAGGAATATTATTAAACTTTGTTGTAATTTATCAAAAACAAAAACCATGCTTCAGGTGTGAGTACCGTAATCTAACATGAAATTCAAAAATTCTTAACAATACTTTGCACTTAGTGGTGTTCGTTACCAACTATGAAACGCTTACCCTCATAGTGTTATATATTAAAATGTACCTATTCATATAGGCATGGGCTTTCAATTGAAAGGGGTTCGATTAATCTACGTTAAATTATATGGAGTCAGGTTACTTTTCAAGATATCAGCGTCCATTTATTGTAACTCCAGGTTTGCTAACATTTGCTCAATTCTGAGATGTACACGCGTAGTAAAAAGTCCAACGTTTGAACTTTTCTTATGTAACTTCTTATATAAGATAAGATAATCACATACTCCTGGTTAACTGTTAAAAATAATAAGAACATAACTTCGACATATCAGTGTTACCTGATGAATGGGACCCTCACGTGCCTTCCAAATGGTAGTAAACGAACTCTAGTGTAACTACATCAGCTTATCTTTTCGTCCGATCAACGATAAGTACAGTTATACAAGAAATGTAAACGAAGTGAAAATATTCCCAAAAATTTTCCGAAAGGCATGTCATTCCGGAAGTTATGATACGTTATGGTGTCACTATGGTAAATCATTGAAAAATATTGAAAAAATCACAAAATTCAAGTTCTGGTGTGAGGTTCCATATCCATCCGCTAAAAGGTATGACCCTATATAGTCCATTTACAAATTTGTGGTTTTGCTCTAAATAACGCTGGCTTGGCTTAATAGTTGGCTTCTAGGGTACCTAGTATGCCACTATTTGGTATCAAAATAAAGAGGAGGAGTTCAACTTTCATTTGAATTACGAAAATAGCGATGTAGGTCAAAATAGTTCCGGCGTGAGCATGTTTACTACGCATTTGCCCGTCATCTCAGAAATGAGGAAATGGTAGCAAACGTGAGTTACAATAAATGGACGCTGATATCTCAAAAAGTAACCTGACTCCCTATAACTTGGTGTAGATCAATCGAACCCCTATATGAACATGTACATTTTGATATATAACACTATTGGGGGGTGGGTACTACTTTTTGCAAGGCCTGACTTCGTCGCTAACATGCTAAATATAAGAGTTAGCTGACGTTTGGGAGTCTGACTTACCTTCTAAAGGTTAGAACCCGAATCTTAATGAAACCATATCACCTTTGTTCCGTCAACCATGGAGCATTTGCCACAACATCCAAGAGGTAAATCATGGACCGAGAAAATGAATGATTTCCTTGAAGTTCCGAAAGTTTCAATACGAAAAATTACCGAACATATATGAAAACCGAATATTTGTTCGTTGTTTTCACGATTTACAGGTTCGTATGTTCTTCAATGTTTTGGTCTAAATTATAAAGCATCACCAACAGGTCTTACTCTATTAATCGACTAATACAGCAGACGGCTCATATTTCTACGTAGCATTTCGTTCAGACAAATAGTGGGACTGTAGATCACGCAGTTTCGTTCGTTGCGTACTTCACTCGAAATTGGTAATTTTATATTGGCTACTTCACTTAGCTTGGCGGATGTAGAACATTGCTTAATATTCTTTTAATTTTCACACCAGACATGCTTGGTTGACACGTCAACAAAGTAAAGTTCAAGGGTCAATGCGTTATTTCGTGATAACTACAACGCCTTCCCGAAAGTCAACATTGATGAAAAATGAAAAAGTCGGAAAAGCATTTACACTAATTTCTATCAAATGCTATGTTTATGCATCATCATCGACACAACAAAGGTGATATGGTTTCATTAAGATTCGGGTTCTAACCTTTAGAAGGTAAGTCAGACTCCCAAACGTCAGCTAACTCTTATATTTAGCATGTTAGCGACGAAGTCAGGCCTTGCAAAAAGTAGTAAGCGTTTTATAGTTGATCACGAACGCCATATGTGCAAAGTATTGTTCCAAATTTTCGAATTTGGTGTTAGATTACGATACTCACACCTTCTGGGGTACATATTGCCATTTTCGAACAAATTAGCCCATACAATGACTATATTTCCGCAATCCTCTATACATGACCTTCATCTTGACAATATATTTAACATAGGGTTTGCATCTCGATTTTTAAATATCACTACGCCAACATAGGGACTCATTTTTAGGTAAAATCCCTGCTTCACCAATGAAAATTAACGAATAAAGTAGTTCCTGTTTACGGGACCATATTCTTGAGATTTCTTTCTAAAACTGGCACATTTAGAAAGTACTTGGAAAGTACTTAGAAAGATGGCATGGCTTCCTACCCGGAAGTGGTATTTACCGTAATAACACCTTATATTACCGAACATAGGTGAAAATGGAATGTTTTTTCGATAGCATTATTACACCAAAAGTAGTGCGAAAATGGCCTTTTCACGTGTTGGCATAAAGTTTTGATGACATTTAAAGACACAGTTCCTCCTTCACGTATATTATCTCATGGAAATGGGCATACCAGCGCAAAGCTCTTTGTTCCGTGGTGAAAAAAAGCTATCAAACATTGTTCCATTTTCATGCATGTTTGGTAATATAACGTATCATAACTTCCGGAAATGACATGCCTTTCGGAAAATTTTGGGGAATATTTTCACTTCATTTACATTTCCTGTATAACTGTACTTATTGTTGATCGGACGGAAAGATAATCTGATGTAGTCACACTAGAGTTCGTTTACTGCCATTTGGAAGGCACGTGAGGGTCCCATTCATCAGGTAACACTCGTATGTCGAAGTTATGTTCTTATTATTTTTAACAGTAACCAGGAGTAGGGGATTGCAACAATTTTGGAAATTCGCGGAGGTCAAAGCCGACATTTGCTTGACTTCGCGAGACATTGTGGCGAATTAGCCTAATTTTGATCAAATTTGAAGGATAATCCCGCCATTCCCGGGACACTTGACAGGGATACAGTTTGAGAACAAAAGTAAGACGCTGATCACATTGTTTCGTGTTTTAAGGGTCACTATTATTTAGCTGTACATAGCTCCGATGGAGAGCCATTAGTTTCAAAATCTAACATTGAGTAGATCTAAAACATTGTTATAAAATTTTTAGAAAACAGAGACTTCACTTACCATGGGGTGGTTTACAGCCGTCCTTAGCAAAGAAAGCGGCAACTACAATGTAAAATGAAAAGGTGTATACACAGCATCACTTTGGGGTAAGTTAAAATGTCAAAATACGCATGTGTCATCGTGTAAAAAGGATTTAACTTACCATTTTGAAAATCGTTTAAAATCGTGGAGAAATGGCCGGTGTCGAAAATGAATAAGATTGTCGTAATTTGTTTACTGCTGAAATGCTTCATGCTTCAAAACAAATATAATGCTATATTTAAAAGAATAAATGTATACATATTGATGTAAATACGATTCCATATTTATGATAAATTGATTATAATGACAGAAAACAGCATTAGAAATGCGCTGAAATTTCTATCGAGTAGCAACTTTTACTATTCATATAAACATTGAAATGAGAGCAGTTCGAATATAGTCCGGAGTAGGGATACTAGCGGTTACCGCTATTTGGTTTTCTGTATAAAAAGCTTTTTCTCCTTTTCTGTCCCGTCGCAGCGCCATCTAGTGTTTGATAAATGAATAAAGGTTTGTTCTTGATAGGGTAAGTACTAATCTATCAGGAAACATTTACAAGTTTGGTTAGAAACAGAATTTTTGGAGATGGCGGAGTGATTTTTGAGACTATGTAGAGCAGAATAATTTTCTGAAACAGGTAGCTTTACGGTGGTAGCTCTCTCCAGATTCAGTTATCTCAAAAACGGTGTGGTCACCGTATGCTTATTTTGTAACGGCAAGCTAGACAAGACTCCAGTGAACACTGGGCACTGTTTCGCTGAGCTAGATCTGTGCCCATGAATATATTATGAAATGAAACGTTATAATGGTCGTCAATGGGATTTTTTACTGCAATCTTGACCCTTCATTTTCATGGAATCGGATCAAGGAAGTGAAATCCAAGCGTTATTGCATTATGCTGACGCACTGGCGCACTGTTGTGAACATCTAGAGAGTTCCATGTTGGAGATAAAATATCGTTTGTGCATATATAACCTAGTATGATGAAAAATTCCTATAATTTTCATTTTTGGCATTATGATTTAGATCAGTCTGTTTACATGTTGATCTATAATGCCAAAGATGTGTCATAACATTTATATGCACAAAAACAAAAGATTCTCATGGAACCATATGGTACAATTATCTGCTATGAACTTACATATACACGGACTGTAATATATGGATTATATATGTATCTTCACAATTATGGTAATATCAAAACGGGATCAAAACAAACGTTTAAACTTTGACTAGCCATGGAAAATTCTCTACGTATATTCTAGTATATCTTGAGATATGCATGTATTGTACAACATTTGAATAAAATCATAATGGGATGTGTACATTCTAATTTTCCCCTGCTTTGCAATCGGCAGACAGACGTCGAAAAATGCTTCTTTGATGCAATATTCATGAATGATCTGGCAACAATGGAAGCATGCTTGAAAAACAAAGTGGATATTAATATGATATACATATGCGACAGTATAATAAAACATGCATTGACAACCCCTCTGACATGGGCATGCAAGAAGGATTACCCTTCCAATGAGGGCCTTAGATGTGTTCAATATTTAATACAGAATAACGCTGATGTAAACAAAAAAGATGGACATGGAAGGCTTCCTTTGTCATACGCTACAGAAAGCGGAGACTATGACCTGATGAAAGAATTGATCAGTGCAGGTACTCATGTAAAAAAGGATACTGCCCTTGATGAGTGTGTTGAGAAATCATTGTTACATTGGGCTGTGTATAATCCTCGCTGTATGGAGCTCTTAATACAACATGGTGCTGATGTAAATGCCCTTAGAAATAAGCACACTCCATTGATTCATGCTGCAAAGCACTGTGGAAATGCAGAGTGTGTGAAGCTATTGATAAAACATGGTGCAGATTTGGAGTACAGAGACTTAGGAAATGAGAGTTATGATTTGTTTTCATTATGTCCACGTCCCCACAATTATACCGCACTGTTTTATGCCTTGACTGAGAGATCATTCTCTACTGTTGAAATTTTATTAGATGCTGGAGCAAACTATAATGGATTAATATTCCCAGATCAAGAAAATTCCAGAAGTGCTCTGCTTGCTTTAATAGAATTTGGGCGATCGAGATCTACATACTGCTGCATGTATTATACAGACTATAGATTAGCAGTAGAAACACGTAAGTCCTTAAAGGGGCATAGGGAATTCCACAATTTTGACAAGTGTGCAGCATTACTGATCAAATATGGCTGTACTCCAGAACTTGAATGTTTAGGAAGGTATCTTAGTCATGGAAATGCAGATATTTTTAAGCAAATCTTGGATGCTTTGACTTCGAAATATGAGCCTGACACACTGTTTCAGAAATTTAAATCTTCCCCTACTGAAGTGAGTCTCAGGGCAGAGAAGTATGATTGTGCCAAATTACTTCTTGAATATGGAGATACTGTGACGGAAAATATTAACACATTAATTAGTTCTATGTACATTAGAGACCGGACTGATCCAAGGAAATTGAAATTCTACAAACAGTCCACCAAATTAATGTTAGATTATGGCGCAAGGGTATCATTGTGTCGATTTTTCAAAGTTTCAAAGTATCATATCTCTAAGGCCTGCAAGAGTGTAGATCAGATCAGAGAACTTCTTACAGTTTTAGATTGTTCCAACTGTAAAGAGAAAATATCAAGCCATGCATTCCTTCATAGCCCTTCTGGTGAGACTATAAACAACATAGTGAATAGAAGTATTGAGTTGAAACATCTTACCAGAATGGTTATTAGAAAATGTTTGTTCTATGGGGGATTGCCACCTGGCAAATGGTTTGTTAGGAATCTGCAACAGCTACCCATACCAGAGGCACTGAAGTGTTATGTTAGGTATATTGAACTGGAATAAAAATGTGATGCAAAAATATCTATTGACATTTGACCAACTTTATTACTTGAAATAGGATAAACTTTACAATTGATTGCATTTTGGATTACATGTGGCAATACAATTGATTGTACCCTTGATTGTAATTTGTACGATATATGGCAATTCTTACAGTTAGTTATTGTGTCGTAAGGCACTCTACAATTGCTTTCAGTGTGGATAACAGTATGTGGTACATTACAATTGATTGCAGGACTGCATGGTACATTACAATCGATTCCACTTTAGATTGTATGATCACATTTGACTACACTGTGGACTGTATGGCATATTACAATTGATTGTGCTGTGAACTGTACGATATACAATCAATTGTACTGTGGATTTTATATACAATTGATTGTCCTGTATGTTGTATGGAGAATGTAATTGATTGCACTGTAGACTGTATGGTACATTAAGCTTTGTACTGTGTAAGTAGTTATTGATAAGTTCTTTGTATTGTATAAGTAGTGATTGATAAGTGCTTTGTATTGTGTATGTAGTGACTGATAAGTGCTTTGTATTGTGTAAGTAGTGATTGGTAAGTACTTTGTATTGTGTAAGTAGTGATTTGTAAGTACTTTGTATTGTGTAAGTAGTGATTGGTAAGTACTTTGTATTGTGTAAGTAGTGATTGATAAGTGCTTTGTATTGTAAAAGTAGTGATTGATAAGTGCTTTGTATTGTGTAAGTAGTGATTGATAAGTGCTTTGTATTGTAAAAGTAGTGATTGATAAGTACTTTGTATTGTGTAAGTAGTGATTGATAAGTGCTTTGTATTGTAAAAGTAGTGATTGATAAGTACTTTGTATTGTGTATGTAGTGACTGATAAGTGCTTTGTATTGTGTAAGTAGTGATTGGTAAGTACTTTGTATTGTGTAAGTAGTGATTTGTAAGTACTTTGTATTGTGTAAGTAGTGATTGGTAAGTACTTTGTATTGTGTAAGTAGTGATTGATAAGTGCTTTGTATTGTAAAAGTAGTGATTGATAAGTGCTTTGTATTGTGTAAGTAGTGATTGATAAGTGCTTTGTATTGTAAAAGTAGTGATTGATAAGTGCTTTGTATTGTGTATGTAGTGATTGATTAGTGCTTGGTATTGTACATAGTGGTACATGGTATTGTAAGTAGTGATTGGTAAGTACTTTGTATTGTGTAAGTAGTGATTGATAAGTGCTTTGTATTGTAAAAGTAGTGATTGATAAGTGCTTTGTATTGTGTAAGTAGTGATTGATAAGTGCTTTGTATTGTAAAAGTAGTGATTGATAAGTACTTTGTATTGTGTAAGTAGTGATTGATAAGTGCTTTGTATTGTAAAAGTAGTGATTGATAAGTGCTTTGTATTGTGTATGTAGTGATTGATTAGTGCTTGGTATTGTACATAGAACGTGTTACATTGTACCTTCAATTTAATAAGTCCAATTTCAACTTGAAATCAAAATATTTTGTCATAGTATTTGCATCATAATTTATACAACTTTTGTGTAAAAATAAATTGCAATATATGATATAAGAGACAGTTAAAATAGTTCGAAATTATGTTCATGTTATATTTAATTGTATATAATTCCCTTTTAATGGGGCAAGAAAGAATATAGAGTGTAAGATGTAGAAAGAAATCTTTTGAAAGCCATGCACATCAATATTTGTTTTAGATAACTGACGAAATGTACGTAGAAGTAATTAAAGATTGAAGATGCCGAGAAGTTAAAATTCAGAGGATTTTGAATTACAGGGATAAGTTATATGTACTTATTACATTAACTACAATTACAAAACAAGAGAATGAATTGATTTGCATGACCCATGACTTTTTAACGATGGACACATATTTATTTACCCAGCTTCTGTCATTTACTGCTTTTATAACTTGTTTCCCTATAGAGCTTTGAAAACATTATAATGACTCACTTTACACACTGAGGCAAGATTTGAAGAATACAAAGCTGGAAATCTGAAACTTCTAACTTTTGCCACAAATGAATATATAATAGATTTTTATGACTTGGAAAATATATGGGTTGACTACAAGATATAGCCTGACAAAATGCATGGATTATTACTTTCCATTATTGTGTTTTTATATGGAGTGTCTTCAGCATGGGGACATGGGATTATGATAGAGCCCCCAGCGAGACCTAGTCTATGGCGGTATGGATACAGGGTGCCCAAGAATTACGAGGACAATCAAGTATTTTGTGGTGGTTATGCGGTAAGCAAAAAATATATATAGGCTTGAATCTTGGTTAGTTAAGGGGATTTATATTTTGAGAGTATCAAGTACAAAAATATAAGGTGCCATAAACCATACATGTATATTTGTAGGCCCCTTTGTACATTGCTCTGATGCTACACCTTATATTTTCTGGGGCATTTTACACCAATAGATCCCAAAAGAATCATTTAATATTGACACTTCAGTTTCAGAATTGCTCTACAATATTGACAAATTTTCTTTTATTCCAGAAACACTGGTATGAGAATGGAGGTAAATGTGGCCCATGTGGCGACCCCTGGGAGGGACCGAGAGATAATGAAGCTGGTGGAAAGTATGCCAAAGGGATCATTGTACGGAAATATCAAACTGGACAAACTATTGATGTCTACATCAACATAACAGTTAACCACTGGGGCTGGTTTGAGTTTAAATTGTGTCCAAATAATGATGTGAATACACCCATAACACATGATTGTTTGGACCAGTTCCCCCTTGAGATCATCAACAGTGATACAAGGTACAATGAATCAATGTTGTTTTCAAAATGTTGCCATTGCGCTTCACTAAGAAGCAATGAAGAAGTAGTACAATGTTATTTTTATTTTTTTTTTTCAACCTCTTGGATAGCCCATTTATTTTCTTTTGTATTCATTTAGACAATAATACGTGTATTATGATAAAATTATTTAATTGAGGCATAAGAGGTAAAATTGGTAAAATGGAAGAGAAAGAAATATAAATATTTAGCATTCAAGTACTTATTGATAATTTAGTTTGGTAGATCTTCTGGTTTATTCTGATGAATCATCTATTTGATGCAAAACTACCTGGGGGGGGGGGCTACCTTATATATCTGAACTCAATAGACACCCTCCAATGAGCCTTTATTTGCAGATTTGATTTACCAAGCAAGGAGACTAAGATTTGGTTCCTCCAGGTTAAGCTTCCCCCACAACTTGAATGTTCTCAATGTGTTCTGCAGTGGAAATACCATGGTGGTAAGTAAGGAGCTGTTACTTCAGTGTGTGATACAATTGCTGACCCAGATTCCCTCATAGGAATCATTGTCCTGGTTCAGGTTTTCTCTACAGTAAAGGAAAATCCTAACTTTATTGTTCTGATGTTTGATTATGATTTATAAGATGGAATTACTTATAATGTGTCCTTTGCTGAGAATACCCTACAAAGTATGACTTTTCTTCTGCAAAATGCAATGTATTTTATTTGACCTCTTCATACAAGTTGACAAGTCCCTTGATAATAATATTTCTTTAACTAGTATTCTTTTTCTATCACTTGGACAAAAGATGAACAATTAATTTACCGTTTCCCATGTCTCTTCAATAATAAACGGTACAATCACTACGCATTCTTTTATACTTGTGTACCCAAAAAATTGTTCTACATATATTTTCAGCCAATAGATGGGGTACTGATCCGGATGGCTGGGAATGTACAGGTTGTGGACCACAAGAGGAATTCTATGCATGTGCTGATATAGCTATAGGCTATGATTACGACTCTGTACATGCACAGCTTCCAAAGCTTAAACCAGAGAGGAAGCAGCGCCCGACAAGTACAGCGCCCCCTGGTGGTGAGGGGGATCCTTCAGATAGATCAGACCCCAGGATCATTATAGTGTACAGTGATGCAGTAGGGAGGGGGTATCAGTGGCAATCAATAACACTGGCCTTCTCAGTATTCATTCTCTTTTGGAACATTTTATAAAAGAATCACCAAACAAACATTGGCACTTATATCCTCAATGAAGGAGATGGGACTTCTATCTTAATAGAGGACATTTAAATATATAATTATAATCTTGTATTTTAACAGTGGTGGAAATTGAATACAATTTGTATTTCAACATGAAATAAAGATTCTAAATGAAATATGGATTTCAATGTGACTGGTTTAGTTAAAGTTGGTAACAGTGTTACTGTTATTCTAAAATAAAGGTGCAGGAAGATGATTTCTGGTTGAGATTATAAAACTATTACCACTATTAGATACAGACACTTCTTAATGATGACACAAAATACACACTTCTTAATGATGACACAAAAGCACAGTGGAGAATATAACTCTAAGCAGACTCTTGATTCTTAAGAAATTGTCACCAAAATTGGCCTGCCCAGTCGTAAGATTCTTTATATTATCCAATTGGAATCTCTGTATTACATGTATGGCAAAGGCCAGGATAGATTGGAAGAGTTCTTATTTTTCAGAGTCACTTAATTTCAAAGGAGCTAAGAATTTGCCCCAATGCTAGTTTTGACCAAATTATTCCCAATATTACACAGCATTTAACACTAGATAATAGACCACATCAAACAATATGATTTTTTGTAATAGTTAAAAATAGATTTATTCAACAAATAAATTAATGCATTCCACTCAGATAAATTCTATGTGCATTATTACTCATGAGTGACCACATAATATTTTCCCATAGTAAGTATTGTGCAACAATGTGCTTACATATAGTATAAATTGTCTCTCTACAGCTTTATACATTTACATTGTGTGGCTAAATAAAACAAATACATAAAGGACAGGTGTTTTGTACAAATCCTCTTGAATCTCACTAAAAAACTAAGACCTTCATTTGTAAAACATGCAGTAGTACAATGTTGTATGTAAGTTCAGGATAATTTGTTGTTAAATTTTTACAGCCACCAGGTCAAAAGTTTAAAGCCACACCTTTCATTAAAACGCAATCACGGGTTGTTTCCGTTTATAACTATATCAACTGGATATTAAAGCATCAATAATCTTGTCAGTCTATATATGATATATCCAAATATTGTGTTTAAATGAAAGGTGCGGCTTAAAGGTTTTCTTCCAAACATAATTTATAACATTTCAAATTATCCGCTCCTCTCCAAATGTCACTGAATATTTACTGATTTTTTCAAAGGACCTTTTACAATTAGGTGAACTATTTAACACTTTTTTGTTTTCTTGTAATCTGATTATTGAGAAAATTCACATCCTCAATGAAAATAAGTTTGATTCAAAAGAAGTATCTAAAAATTAAATAAATAATTACCCCCAAAAATAGATGAACTTAAGGTACACCTTTTATTTCATTTTTTAGATACTTCTTTTAAATCATCCTAAATTTTCTTGTTTAGTTCACCAAATCGTGTTAGTTCCTTTAAAGTATCATTCCTTTTAATTTCAATGTGAGTGATAAAATAAAATGGGTAGTATGTTTGTAGATGTGGTCAAGAACCAATGTATCAACAATCAACTTTTTACCTCATCCTTTTATCAATCCTCCTACAATCAACCCTAAATAAAAAAAAATATAGTAAAATATTCAATCATGTGGGAGTGTGTGTTGTGCTATTAATGCTAATAATTTTGAAATATGGTTACTCGTGCAACCTATCATACTGTCATATCACTATTCATTTAACTAACTACAATAAAACAATCCCAACAAGGACCAATTTAACACTTCATGTTTATTAAAAATGAGAAATACTGATATTGGCCCTTTCGGAACACTGATTTTCCACCTGATGTGTACAGGGTGTCAAATAAATATGTTCTCCCTCTTAATTTCAAGAGAATGAACTTTGGTACATAAAAGTGCATCTAATTGAGCTAGTCATCTGAAACTTCTTGTGGTGTTGCTCTGTAAAACCTAGTTTAAATGTGCTAAAGAACAATTCAGATATCATGTCGTGAAAAGGATATTCCAACATTATGTGGATGTTAAAGCTGAGGAGGGGAGAACATATTTATTTGACACCACCTGTATATATTGTAATACACACACACACAGGGTGGGCCAATATTTTTTGTCGATTTAAAAGCCACTCAGTTAGTCAGCAAAATAATAACATAATATGTTTTTAATATTATTGCAAATCGACTAATCTTTCAAATGAAAAATGTAAATAAAATTATGACAATGTCCATATTATTCTAACAAACTGAATAGGGATTTATTTATTATGACAAATTTTCACTGATGAAGAATCTCTCTCAACAGTTCTTTGAATAATATTATGATGCTTCAGCTAATTAATATACATGATCATTGTACTTGTACTACCAGCAACAAAAGACAATTTAGATAGTACACTAAAAAACACACATACACATCTCAGGTCCTTCAAGGTTCCGTAAGGTCACTTCCCTTGTAGATCACGTTTTATTTCTTAGCTGCCAAAATTGACTTATTTAACAGAGTAGGCTCAATCATAGCCCCAAATCTCCCTGATCCAAGTCAGGTACAGATAACTTCAAAATAACATCACATCTCAGTCATCCATTGCATTCAATCAGCTTCTCTATAATAGATATCTGAACCATGACTTGAATCGAGAGGTAAAACTAAATCTTGACCTGAACCATGATTGACCAGACACTCTATTTTTACAAATGATCTGTGACAACAATCAAGTGTTAATAATATTAATACATGCACCGAAGAAGTGTTCTAGAGTACAATCCCCTTGCATGTTGCCATTCCTCCCAGCAAACTAATGTTCTTTATTGCAGTGGTTTCTCTGATATGTCTGTGTAGCTCTTCACCCTTGAAAAGACAAGGTCCGGATATGCCTTTTTGGTGAGTTCAAACTCTGCAACACTTTCGTGTCCAGTGTTTCTGAAAGTAGAATCAATGAACATGCCTTATGATTTAACCTCTAAAAGCTAGATTCTCTATTTCATTCCATGATAAAATATTTAAAACCAGACTTGGCTCCAAAATGAAATATAAAATTCCAAGTCACAAGAATTGACCGGCTATTTAGTGCATATCCATAGTTTTTCATTTAAAGCAAATGTTTTCTTCTTGCATCATGGATAAATAAATGTGAATATTATTTAAGAGCTTCCTACTTGTGAAGTGTGTGTATAGCGTAATGCTTCCATATCAGCCTTGTGTGTTTCCTTTTCCCAACATTTTCCACTTCCATAATCTATAAATAGAAAACAAAACATACATCTCTTGGAAAAGAAACCTCCAAGACACTGATGCTCCATATTATATAGAGCTCAAGTTTTTAACTTTTAAAATCGACTTTATTAAAGTACTGTAAACACATTGCAATTAGTATTAGTCAATGCTATTTGAATCTACCAACCGATTACTCCAATACTTGGTGTATTTTTCAAATATGAGAAAATCTAAACTAGATAATGGCAACTCCGTGGAGTAGCAAATCCCAACGAACAAAATATCAATTACCGAATTCCAATCAATTATACTCATTACTTTGGTTAAAATTGAAAAATTTAGATTTTAGAATTGCGAATTCCTGCAAAGCAGCCATTTTGAATTTTCTGAGGTACAAATCTGAAAAATAATAGCATAATTGTGATCTACTCCAAAATTCCTTCAATTTGAGTATAATATAGCCATACTTTGAAGGGATCGAAAAATGATTGCGAAATCGTACATTAGACGGCCATTTTGAATTTTACGAGGCTAAATCAGAAAAAAAATACAATATTTGCAATCTACTCTTAATTGCCTTTCATTTGAGTATAATAAAGCTATACTTCAGAAAGATCTAAAAATTAGCGAAAATTTCTGTTTTCCTGACCCCCATACACAGCCCATGGGGGTCAGGATGAAAAACACGGAATATATGTGAAATAGATAGATGTTGCGAATATACTACCAAAATTTCAAACAATAATATTAATTACTTTGGTTTAGAATGAAAAATTTATGATATTTGCGAAAAAGTCCCCGTCATTTTTAAAGCGGCGGCCATCTTGAAAAAATTTTTTTTTGCGTAAAACAATTCATCAATATACATCTTTCCACTAAATATGAAGAAAATCCGTCCACTAGTATTTGAGTTATCTTCCGGACGGACGGACGGACGGACGGACGGACGGACTGACGGACTGACAGACTGACAGACTGACGGACTGACGGACGGACGGAGGGCTTCACTATATCCCTAACGAACTTCGTTCGTTGGGATAATTAAGAATGGTATTAGACTTCATAATTTTCAAACTTGATGTTGATATGGACATACAAAAGATGTTTTCAAGGAATGGCCCAAATTGTATTGCATTGGATTGCATTGTATTGTATTGCATCGTATTGTGTTTTGTTCTCCACCATTTAAGGCAACATATTTTGTCTGAACTTCAATTGATCCCTTGACCTCATGTACCTCAGGTGCATGCAAAACCACTATTGCTATTTGGTGAGGTCATAATTAATTTGCCTTTAGCTTACCAGATGAAAGGTCTGTTCATCAGGGACATTGTTGATTTGCTGCCTTTGTCTCTTGTAGCGATACTTTAGGTTTAAGTTGTTTTCTTTGTGCTGTTGTCGTTTCAGGACAGCGGTTAGCTGTAACATAGTCAGGTCGACCAATAAACATATTTCATCAATGGGTAGGGATCCATTTGGATGTTTAACAAATATCTTATACATTATTTTCCAGACCACCTCATGCAATATTTCGTGAGGTCTTAAATTGTAGCTCATACCTTATTTCAACCGATCGAACTTGAAGGAATGATTATGGGCTATCATGGTAAAAATCAAATATGGTCACCTTAAATGTACCAACAAGTCCAAAATCCAATCAGTTTTAGTTCACATCTCATAAAACTTTTCAAGGTCAATATCACGAATTTCATAAAAATGTTCATTCACAATTTTTGACTTCAAATATATGTAAATCCAAATCTGAGTTGAGTTGAATGATGAGAGCAATAACACATATTTCAATGTTGCTATTATGGCCACTTACTGTAGTTCCAGCATGCCTGTAGTAGCCATGTAAGAGGCCTTGCATAGGAGATTTATTACTCTTCAGCTTACCGACGACTCCTTGAGGATCATCAGGAGAGGTCAGCATGAACATTGTACCTGCAAAATAATTTGTCAGCACATTATTGAGTGCCATTTCACTTTAAAACTGTACTGGTACGTCACCACTTCTTGTTATAGTTTCCAACTTTTTTTATGGCCAGTGTTCCATGGTTTGTGTTCAGCAATCGGCAATGGGCATACAGCATCATAACAAATGGCAGGTGGTGACATTTTGCATGTTAATGCATTGTCTTATACCTTGTTATGTATGAGAGAGAGAGCCACGATATGATTTTCTTGAAATGTTCTCGAACACAGAAGTCTACAAACTGAATGGCAAATCACCTAAGTCCAGCACGAATAATTTAGTCTGATAGGTAAGTCAAAAAACTGAAAGAATCTTTTTGAGACACTACTATAGGGTTATCATTATGTTGTTTCTAGCTCTAGCTCTTTAAACACAATTTAATTTTAAAATTATACATATCATCCACAGAAAGTAAAATGTTGCTTAACTTAAGGCTTTAATTAATGCCATGGCATTAACTGTAATAACTTGTGTCAAGTAAACAATGAAGTATCTTCAATTAAAAAGGCACTGACATTGAACACTCACATAAAGTCTCTTGAATGAAACTTTTGACAAAAATTGCAAGTTACTCACCATCTGGAAAAAACCTAGCGTAACGGAAGTATTGAACCAAATGGAAAGGTCTGTAGTTGAAATCTATACTAATCTCTCCTTGTCTCACATAGCTGTTGACACTTATGTAGCACCCTGTAAATACAAGAACAGCTGTTTACACTTATGTAGCACTCTGTAATTACAAGAATAGCTGTTTACACTTATGTAGCACTCTGTAATTACAAGAATAGCTGTTTACACTTATATAGCACACTGTAATTACAGGAATAGCTGTTTACACTTATGTAGCACACTGTAAATACAAGAATAGCATTTAACACTTATGTAGCACCTTCTAAATAGAAGAATAGCTTTTTAGACTTATAGCTCAATATACTCTAAAAGGTAGAAAAATCAAAGGTTGTATTCAAAATCAAACATGGCATTAACATACCACCATTTGTTACAGACACCAACCACTGATTGACAACCACCGATTGCCAACTGCCGATCACCAACAGCCGTCACAAAAAAATGGAGACCATAACAAGTCACCACTTTGTGGTGGTGACATAAAAATGATTATGACCACAAGGAACGATGCCTAAAGTGAGGGTGTATACCAACTGCCTTTGAACCACACTTATACTGTATTGTCAAAGTCAAGAATTATTGAACCAAGCACACAGTATAACACTGCTTACGGCTATAACAAGAGTCTATAATTCTGATACTACCCATAAAATGTAACAATCTGAGAAATAGTCAACTTACCGTTAAACTTCACATGAGGCTCTTCTATGTACTTTTCTCTCCATGTCTGATATTTTGTACTTAAACTTGATCGCAGACCCCAGACTCTAAAAATTACATGATTATCAATTTTAGATTATTTTGTGTCTGTTGTAATAAACATGAATGAGAGATTAAATTTTAAATCCTTCCCGAAACATAAACACAAAATATACACACTTTGCGCCCATTTCAGTGCTATTCTATTCGTTAGGCATGTTCCTCAGTAATATTTATGTTAATTTTGGCTAAATTGAGGGGGGGGGGGTCTTTTGGTAATGTTAATTTCCATTTAAATGTTTTCCCGGTTGGATAGGGTTAGTAAATCTAGTTTTGGGGGTAACTTTTAGTTTGATTTCAGTTCAATTTTTTTTTTGGGGGGGGATACAAATTTTAGTACTAAATATTTTTTGTGGGGATGTTCAGTAATAAGTGTTCACCAAAGTGTTAATTTCAACCTTATTTTTTGGAGTGGGGGCGCTAATTTTAATACTATTCTAGTTCTATATTTGTTGGGTGTGTCCTTCAGTAACACTTAATCCTACTATCACCCAATTATTTTTTCAAACTTTTACCCTTTTCTTGATTTTTGTTACTCAAGTTGCCAAAGTCTTTAATGGAAAAGTAATTTGTGAGTTTATTAGAGTATGTGCGTCTATGAGAGAAAATGTGAAGTTTTTAACATTTAAATATTGTTTTCACAATTCACAATCATGAACTAATTGACTAAACAGAAGCGATTATGTGCACAATGAAGTCAAAGTGAAGTGTACAATGAAGTGAAAACATATGAATGTACATGAATGTTTCCCACAAACTATTACATGATCTACATAGTGTACGTATATGTACCTGGTACAAGCCAGTCTCCAGATCTCATCATCCCTTGCCAGAACATAGAATCCTCTACAGACCAAAGCGATGTTCTCCAAGGCCTTTAGGTCTAGATGGGAGGACACAACCCACTTGAAGATATAGTTCAATACCTCAACAGGCAGGGCAGATATGTGAGTATCCTACAAATGACACAAAACCACCTTAATTCATTCTATTCAATCAATTAATCTTAACACCCATAATATTACAATATGCTGAACTGTGAGACACAAAGGAGAAGCACTATTCATAAAATATAAATGTGGTATGTTAAAATCTATGATTTTACTGGAATGAGGTGTTTTGTTTTGGATTTTTAGAAAATAACCATGACAAGAAATAATATGAGTCCTTTAGAAAAAGTTGAGTGCTATCTCAGTAGTCCTTCAACATGAATCTTTCACCAGCCCGTGTCGAGTAAAAATTCAATGAAGTTGTTTTATCCATCCTCCTAAGCAGGTGTCCAGAATCCGTACCTCCTTCTTCACCCCTGCTATAACCAATTTGGAAGCGCCCAATTAAACTGAGTCATGTGGTCGAATTATGCACCGATGACATATACTTGATTGCTATTGCAGTGTTGCAATAGCGAATCAAATTACGAGTTCTTAATCGGGGAAATGCTAACTGCTTTTAGCAGGGTGTAAAAAGAAAGAAGATATTCTGGATTTTGAAGCCCTGTGATAGGAGGATGGTTTTATCCAGCTCACCTTCTTTTCTAGTTCCTGTTGGCAAACACCATTATGGTTGATCTCAAGCTTAGAGAAGTATGTGAGCAAATCACTAAGGTCTTCTTCATCTTGCTCAATAGGGGTGATACTATCCAGTGAGCTCTCACTGCCTATACTATCTGAAACACATCAATAGGTTCATATGGAGAATTATGGGTTACATGAGATAAAATTCTCCAAAATATAAGTCTAAATCCCTGACATTCTTAAAAGAATTTGCATTGATATTCTTCTCATTTACTCTAAGCTTGCTTCTGAGTTCTTCACAGAATTTTTTCAAATTGCTTAATGAAGGTGCCAAACACAAGTGGATTACACCAATGTCCGACAATTATAAATCATGAAATCCACTTGCGTAATGGTATGCAGAATTAAAAATTGCAGAAAACCTTTCTCATGTAGAATTTACTATTTTTGCAGACATCTTTTTCAGGTAGATATTGCATTTTTCTATGCAGATAACTTAAATATTGGAATAAGTAATTACCTCTATGTTGTCTAGTGTTGGAGGGTCTGTAGTCAACAATCCTAGATTCAATGTCTGGTACCAACTGAATGGCCTTCTTGTAATAGGAGATAGCTGCAACAAAGCATGAAAACTTAATATCTATCCCTAACATGTAAAATGTTAATTAACATTTATGATAAAATGAGTTTATGTAATCATGCTTAAAGTCAGTGGTAACTACCCCGCTGACCATGGCTAGAGTTTAAGTGGTACATATTCTTAACTAGTGTTTTCCCCAGGATTTTTTATCTGCTGAGTGCAAAATCTGAATGTTCAAATTTGGACTGCACATTGGGCTTGTCATGAATATTCCATAGTAACTTGATCATTGTTATTTGGCAATGGAGTGCAGTATTTAATTGGGTTTGATGCTATTGAGATTATCATCTAACAAGTTCAGAATCAACATAAGCACCAAGAATTTCATTACTATGACTATTATGAATTTCAATATCATGCAATATTGATAATTTAAAAATATAAAATAATTTACCATCATACATGAATCCATCTTGTTCAGCGCTTACCCCCTTCAAGAACAGGTCCCTAGCCTGCAAGTTGCAACACATTATATTACTACATGTACAGTCAAGATACACCCTCAAACCAAGGGGCTAAAAGTAATAACTGCCCTTTAAATTGGACAAATAAGTTTTGATGCTGATAAGATAATTTGGTATGGCTACAACAAAGGATTATCTTTTATTCAAGGAGTCTAGATGAAGCCTAAAAGAAGTGAATGCAATTTATTCAAAAGGGTGGCCAAGATGTTGCACCACAGCATGCAATATATGATATACAGTATATCCATCTCAATAAAGCAAGCTCAGGCCAAAATATTACTCCAAAAGAAGTGATTTGGGAGATGCACATTTAAGGGTCACGGTTAAAGCCTATTTCATTTTGTTCCAACATCAATTTCTTGAGGTTTATATAAAGTATGTGCTTTCCAAGCAGGGACATATTTTAGGTTTTCACATCACACTCCAAAAGTGAAAGTCCCGTTTTGAAGGAATGGGGCCAGGGGTTGTACTTCAGGGTCTCTCAGGAACTAAATATATTTTTATATTTATTGGCATGGCCACTGATTATCAATATACCTGGTCTTCCATGTTTTCTTCAACACTTTTTGTGCTTTGCTTGCGTAATCTCCTCTGGTTCTTCTTGTCCCGTCGCTTGGACTCAAGTTCCTTATTCCACTCCTCTCTGAAGGCATCAAGGTTGTTAGATGCCTGTAACATTACATAACATACATGTATATGGATTATAACATGGTAACATGTATATGGATAACATGGTGTAATCATACAGGAATTACAGGTTTATAAAAGACTATAAGACATGCAGAAAGCCTATTTTTGCTCACTAAGCTCCTTTTCGATAAATATGATTTGTGTGATAAAAGATGTAACGTTGTACTCATACATTGAACAACTCTGTCAGAAGTAGCAGGAAAATTTTGTGAAAAAGATCATTTCTTTTACATTTTGCATAAATTCAAAACACAAGCTCTTCTCATTAAAATCCCCTTTTCCCAGTAAAGAATATATTGGTGTAGTTGAAAAAAGCACCACGATCTTCTCAGGATACATGTAGGTACCTGCCAATATCACTGATTACAATGTTGAAGAGCATTAATAATAGTTAATTTGAAAATGCAGAATTAAACTTTATGCTAAGGGTTAAGTATATAAAGAGTGTACTGTACCTTATCTGAATCAGAATCTGAGGAGGAGTAATCTTCATCTGAAGCTCCAACAGCTTCTGCTGAATTCACTTCAGCGGTTTCCTTAAAAAATATATAATTTCCTTTAAATCTTATGGTACATTGCAACAATATATCTCTGTGTAAGTTGGTAAGAAATATAGTCAAAGAGAGTTAATTTTTCAATTTCAATTTCATATCGCTTCTAAAATATGCATCATTAAAATTGCCTTTATTATTTCAACTTCGGCCATTTTGCACTTGGAAAAATTGTCTCTTGTTTAACTGTTGTCACTACGGGTGATTATTGTTTGACTTTTTTGTTTTACGTATTTGTTTGTGTTTCCCCTGGCCAGTGATGGCTGATTCGGGAGACAGTGATAATCAACAGAACCATGGTGGCTCTCGGGTCAAAGCATCTGGTTCCAGGGATAATAGTCTAACCAATGATTTTGTTGACAGGGGTAATGATGGTTCTCAGGCCAAGGATAGACTTTGTGATTCTCAGATCAATATGAATAATAATACACAGCAATAAAGCTTTTGGGGTAGAGCAATGTCGGAACGGTCGATTGTCAATCAATGCTCTCTGCGACACCCATGTCGACACAATGCCTCAAGATCGACATTTGGAGCTCACAACATCATAAGTTATTTACCTATAATTAGAATCTTTGTCATTGCCTGCAATATGGTATATTTCAGTGAAGTTTAACGCATGTTTTTCGCCCCAAAATAACAACAGAAATCATGGCTTATTTTATTTTTATGCCTTCTTATTGCTTTTTCGCCAAAGTCTGATATTCAGACATGGTTTACTTGTGAGCAGTGGCGTAGCGTCATATACGCATAAAACGCAATAGCGTACTCTCAAAGTTTAGAGAAAAGTGAATTTTTGATATTGAAATGACCCACGTTTAATATTCTGAAGTAATGGCCTAACATTTTATTAATCCATATTATTTTTTCGTAGTCGGAATTTCGTATTTTAAAACGCCCCAGAACGCTTCAAATGCAATCTATTTTATTTCAAATTTTCTTGGGGAAAGACCCTCCCCCTCAAAGCTCTTTCGCTTCGCTCACTCGTGGCGTACACTCATAAAATACCCACGCTACGCCACTGGTGAGAATGACTACTGTGCATTGTATTGCTAATAACAAGCCTAGAAACTCTAGACCCGACAATGTCAATGTTGTCGATCGAGAGCTCCGACATGTCAACATCATATAAATATGTTTTTCTTCATAATATGGCACAATTTCTTTAGATTTCTTATTTTTCAGGTTCAACTGCTTGCCTTTGGAGCAGTGTAACAGCATGAGATCGAAAAATACATTTGTAAATTAGATATAAAAAACTTAAACATAATGCCCATGTCTATGGTTAACCAAAGACGGTTCCTAACACACTAGAGAAATCCGTGGGTGTGGCATTTAGATTAAAACAGGTGTGATCATTGAAATTTCATAAGAAGTTTCAAAATGTTTCAAAACAACTTTTTCAAACTATTCAAGCATTCATTCGAAGAAATGTATGTTCACGATAGAAGAATAAGTGGAAAAATATCATACCATTTTTCCAGAAGAATGTATCTTTGGAAATTTAGACCTCAAAATCACGCCAAGAAAAGCAAATAACAGCAGTGGATAAACTTCTCGCTTTCTGAACTGCTGCCATTTTCCAAATACACCGGATATACGTCACTACGTCAGAACGAGGCTTGTAAAAATTGAAAGAAGAGATCATTTGGATTTCGGATGTGTCAAAAATGACAAGAAATAGGACTTAACATCCATCAAGTTCATGAAAATCTCAGTTCTCATCAATCTGTAAGTATTATTTATTTATATAAGTATATATTTAAAGAGCATATGTGTTTTGATCGTGTGTTTTTAGCGTTCAAATGTTACTGTTTTTATCTAAAAATTTCAGTTTTGATTTTGAAGTTTGGGTGTCATTTTAGGGTACATGTGCACTGAATAAGCACTGAATGTCTATAACTTTATTAGTAAATGCAAGGTTTGGCTCCCTGGGACGTGACTCGATTTTCTTCCTTGTACGGGTATCACATCGTTATGTTACGAATACAAACTTCGAAATCAATTCTATTCTCCGTGTAGTCGGAGAAATATAGGGGGGTGTAACGTCGACGTGTGGGGTAATGTCGACATAAATGACAGGGTAACTTCAACACTTACTTATTAGGAGTATAATATCCGTTTTCCGCCATGTTTGATTTCTGGAAAAATGAAAATCTCGTGAGATCTCGATCCATATGAGAAAAAAAACATGGCTTCCCCCTCGATCAGAAATAAGAGCAAATAAACAACAAGGTGTCGAAGTTCCCCCAAATGTCGAAGTTGCCCCAAAATGGTGTTGACGTTACACCCCTTCGCCCTTCAGGCACAAATAGCAATATTGCATCAAGTTGGAGATTAAACAATATTGAGTTGGAACCCTGGCTTCCAATCCTCCTTGAGTAAATGTACATGTCAAAATATCACAGGCGTACCCAGGATTTTCTCCAAAGTTGGTACAACTACATCTAGAAAATAAATGAAAAAAATAAGAATAAAAACAGCCTATCATCATACTTGAACTTGAAGCCTAACTTCTCCACCTCATTCGCCTGATCACACAGTCTACATGTACATAATGTACTTCCTTCTCAGCACCATGAACGGAATCCCTGGGGATTAGCCAAAAAAGGGGTGCACCCCCCTGGGTATGTTCATGAATATAGTTGGTTTATTTTAAAAGTTTAAAAACCATTTAAGAAATATGTACCTTGTTGTGAACATTTGTGACTTGAGCACAGGCAAATTGATACTAGGTATTGTTAAGTATGGCTTTAGAGGCTTTAGTAAAACTGTTACTCATAGGTATGGAAGGGGAATCTCATGATTCTACATTCAGTAGATGAATGAAAATACTAAACATCAGACCCTCGTCTGATATGTTTGTCTTAATACATATTTGAAAAGACTACCACTACCTTTGATGTGTATACCTGTATAAGTGTAAAGACACAAGCGTAGATCTTATCAACATCAAATATGTTACCTGGAATATTTAGAAGGAAGTTTGCAAAAGTAAGTTTGATCAGCCAATGGAGATAATGTGAACGCCATAACCAATACAATTGATGGAATAACCATTTATTTAGTAATTTTTGAATTGTTTCAAGATAAGATTTTGATAGTTTGATATATTTTTTGGCATTTTAATCCTAATTTCATAAAGTTATTTTGCAGTCTATCATACCATAGGCTCTAGACATAGATTAGAATGCTATATACATTGTACTATTTAGATGAATATAGATTTTTAGCTAAAGAAAGCATATTAAGCTATTTGTTATAAGGTTAGTCAGAATTAACATGTAAAGCAAACATACTATATTTGCTTAGTGACATTTGTGAGTCAGAGTTTTGAATTGAGATGAGCATGATATACAAGTAGAACTGTGAAATTATCCATTGATGTGATTAAGTTCTAGGCCTAAAGAGTAAAGTCCAATAGCCACGATTATTTACGATTTAACCCAGTAATATTAGCACTAGACTGTTCTGTAGGGTCAGTTCAAGCTTACTGCTAGATAATTATCATCCCCAGAACGCAGACCTCCAGATATCATTCACTTAGCTCCACTAAGGAGGTACGAGTTCTGGAGGTCTGTGTTTGGAGGATGGATAATTGTATTTGCATCATGAATATAGTGAAGTCTTTCTGGAGTGAAGAAGTTTAATTGTCTACCCTGAAGTCATCTGCTTGAACATACAAGCCTCTGAAATGATTTTATAGTTTTTTGGCTCACCCCTACCACTGATCATTCAGTTTTCAACAAAATACTCATCAACTGGTTGGCGGTGTTGAAGATCGGAGTAAATGTGACCACAGCCATCCTCCGATCACATGGCTTCAAAATCCAGAATATATTCTTTCTTTTTATCTCCTGCAGTGCTCTCCCCAGGATTTTTTTGTAGGGAGGATTTTGAAAAAGAAAATTGCAACATTTTGGGATTTTGTTATTCTGAAAGTGCAACATTTTAATATTTTTTACTCCTAAAGTGCAACATCTGCGGATCTGGGGGGGGGGCTGGCTCGCCCCCCCCTTTGGGTCGTCCCTTGGGTGGTCCCAGAAAAAAAATTGGGCCCAAAAGGCCCAAAATGTGGGCCTTTTTGAGAATTACTGGGCCTTTTAAAGCCTTGTTTTTTAATATTAGGCCAAATCTTGAAGCAAATGGGCCTTAAATGTTCAAAACTTGGGCCCACTTTTGGGTTTTAGGGTCCCAAATTTTTTTAAAGTTTGGGCCCCCCCCCCCTGTTTGGGCCGCCCCTGTATACGTATTGATTATGCCTGTTTATCAAATATTTATGAAAAAAGTAATCAAAGTTTACATTTTTGGTAATAAACTTTTAAAATTTAAATTTGCCGCTTCATCCATTCAGCAAAAAAACATATTTTTTGTTGAAATTCAACAGGGCCATTTTAAGTTAATCGGGCGACCAGATTCACTTAAAAAGTACTTACACTCGATTGTGTTGTGCAAGACAACTTGCCAGCGGTGTGCTTCTGACTTTCTTCTGATAAAATCAAGTAAATATATCGAAATAAGGGGAAAGTTATTTTAAGTCTGGGAGAAAAATAGTGGAGTGAATACGAACGGCACAAATTTGCATTCGGTCGTTTGAAATAGCGAACAATTCATTTTCTTCCATGTTAATCTGTCATTGAACCAAATTAATGTGCGTTCGATAAAGTTCTGCATATACGAATGACGTGAATTTACGATCGGTCGACTAAAATAGCGAACGTTTGCTTTTCTTCCATGTAAATCTGTAATTGAAGCAAAGGAATATGCGTTCGATAAAACACTGCATAAGTGAAAATTTAAAAACAAACAAAACTTCGACTTTTCGGTAAGATTTTGTTATTTCAAATCTTTTGAGGCGGAGAAACAATGTGTAGGGTTTGTCAGTGGCGCAAGGAATAACCTTGAGGCGCATTTCTTTGATTGCAATTGTTTGGAGGCGCGGCGCCTCAGTAAGTTCAATGTAGGGAGAGCACAGCTCCTGTGATAAGCAGTTAGCATTTCCCCGATTAAAAACTCGCACTCTGATTGGCTGTCGCAACACTGCGACAGAAATCATGTATAAGTCATTGCGCATAATTAGATCATGTGATTCAGTTTAATCGGGCGCTTCCAAATTGGTTATAGCAGGGGGAAGAAGGAGGTACGGATTCTGGATACCTGCTTAGGAGGATGGACCTTAGCATAATGAACATTGATTGGCTAAACAAGTTCTAGAAGTATATCACTCATTTAAAGAGTATGATACATCTTATATTTTATAAAGTGTATTAAATTAAATGATCTATTGATACAGGAGGTATTGAAATACATGTAACATTAATATCAAATGAAAATCTAATATTAGATTGAAAGTGTTCAGATTTTTGGAGGTTTGTTCGAGAAAAGTTTCCACATACATCTACATTGTAATCTACATACTGTAACTTATCACTAATATTTCATAACTAATGATTTCCATGAGGTGAATATTTATACATGATAGAACCTCAGCAAGTACGTCATCAATTGTTTGTTCAGCTTGGTTAAATCTTAGTTTATTGATAGAATATAGAAGAATATAGCATAAGTTCTACTTTGAGATTAAATCGATAGACATTGAAGCTGTTATATTCATCCTTACCTTTTTTGATTGTTCTCTTTATTGTCAATTTTCATAAATAAAGATTATCAATAAAAACTGTAGTTACCTTTAAATATCCTTATTTAAATATGAGTATAAACAACTCTCAAATTTTTCCTCATATTTTTCTTCATTAATTTTTCCTCATACTAGTACATGTATGTATTTCTTGTTTTTCATGCTTTGATATATACAGTTGATTGGCAATATGGTAATAACTCGGTATGATTTGTAGCATTGAAGCAGGAAAATTATATATACTGTAATGTACATGTACATAGTCAAACAGGCGAGGCTTGGGAGGCAGCTGTATGTGGTATGTTTCATCTTCAGGTTTTAGCTATTTTAGCTACTTTTCACATAGTAATTGCATTGGTAAATTAAAATAATTGGTTTAAAGATGAAGATGGTGAGAGTGAGACAAACAGTTATATAGTGAGTTATATAGTGAGCTTAACACTACTTTTGGCCTTTTAGGACTCATATAGAATTAAAAATCAGTGTCAATAGAGGCCTGTAGTCAGGATTTGCCAAGGGGGGTTCACTTTTTGAAAATTTTCCAGGGGGTTCACTTCTTACAATTTTGGTCCAAAAATGGCCAAAATCACTTAAAATGTGTTCAGAATGATGAAAAACTGCATGATTTTGAAAGAAATTTTGGCCGGGGGAGGGGGGGGGGGGCTCGAACCCATCGGTTGATCAGTTGATGTATATATGCATTTGATAATTGATGTGACAATTTTAGACTATATAGCTGACTTGAAAATCTTGTGGGGTCCATTTGGCTCTCCCACATTTTTGTTTTATTGTCTCTATGCCCTATTTTTTGTTGCATTATGTATGAAATGGTGCCCTAAACTTGCTTGAAAGTTTGAGTTTGATAAAAAGGTCCATGCTCTCGTCACCCCCCCCCCCCCCCCCCCCCCCCATTACCAGCGATTATAATTGATGCATTTCACTATCGGCAATTACCTGTATTACTGTATAGGCATTCTGTTATGTAAGTAACTACATTACTCAAATATAAGACATAATATGCAAAATTTCTGAACACCCTGTATATTTTGACAGATCTGACAACAAGCTTCTTATCAAGTAGAAGTGATACACTTTAACCCTTGAACAGAGAAATCTGTAGATATGATATCTCCCTGATCCTTCTTTCAGGCCAGGGAACTTTGGATTCAATTTATCATCATTGTAAAGGGAACTAGTCATTCGAATAATTAGGGAGTAAAATATCTGAAAAAATGATTTTATGTGACAGTTATGTTCTTTTGAAGGTTGCTGAACCACAATAAAATAAGACATTTTTACAGCTGTCCGCTCAAGCCCTTTAAACTTGGGTACTTGTGTACTTGAGCTTTAATATGGAAATTGGCCAAATGACTAGACTTCAGAAAATGTTTGTTGTATCTATTTACATTAGCATGCACTGTCTACATGGAGCTTTAAAACTACAAGGTTATTGTTATTACAACTTATACTTATAACATACTTATTGATGTAATACTTCCTGTAAAGATACATTGCCCATCCTATAAACTTATCTGTTTGTTTTTTTAATTCTAATTAATCCAACAACCTAACCCTACTATCACACCAAACTAGTTCTCACTACGTTCTCGAAAACGGGCTTAAACTGTGCACGAATGGATTTGACGTACTAAGAACCCACTAAAAACCGTTTGGGATCTGTTAACAAACTTCATGAAACTACTAGAACGAATAGGTCCTCCAGCACTTAGAGCATGCTCAACATTTTCTGGTGATCATCAAAACGTTGTGGAATCGGTTTTAAACTGTGTGCGAACTGAATGAACGTCGCTACAACCTTCGACGGTCTGTTTACGAACTTCATGGACTTTCCCGGACGGGGTATGTGATTTAGAATTTTGAATCGATTCAAAATTCGATGGCGACCATACCGTTCTGTAATCCGGTCATGATGACCTTCTAGACTAAGGGACGGTTTATACTATGTTGCACACCGACTTGGTGCGACCTGAACGAACTGCGAACGTGATGGACGTATTGAAGACTGTTTATGAAGTAGCTAATTATTTTAGACATATATCCCGACCGCAGCCAGATCGAGCCCGTTTTACGACATTTTCGTAGGACTGGCAAGAACGGGTAAGAACTAGTTTGGTGTGATAGGGGGGTAACAAGAAATATCGAAAGAGGTAATTTCAAAGAAAAAATTTGACCTCGATCACTGTATCCTAATCAATGTTTTGAGTTTTGCTTCAAGGCCTTGTCACTCTTTCTACCTAAAACCTGTACCCCAACTCTTCCTACCTAAAACCTGTACCCCAACTCTTCCTACCTAAAACCTGTACCCCAACTCTCCCTACCTAAAACCTGTACCCTAACTCTTCCTACCTAATACCTGTACCCAAACTCTTCCTACCTAAAACCTGTACCCCAACTCTTCCTACCTAAAACCTATACCCCAACTAAATATTTATGTTTTTTTCTGTTTCTTTTCAGTGTCTATACTCAGTTTATATTATTTCTATGGTTTTGCTAAGGTCAATTGTTTTTGGGTTTAATTTTAATTTCTGACATGTTATTTCAAATAGAAGGCATCAAGATATGAAGACAAATTCATAAATGATTTGATCAGGCCTTGTAGACTCTAGTTTATTTAATATTCTGTACTGACATACACCCACTATTGATTATCAGTTGCTGAACTAGTTTCGTATTGCTGAAATTAGGTGCCATTGGCAATATCTGATCATCTAATTACAAAAAACTGTATTTGTAATTGTGAACCTTAACCTAAGATATCTTAAGTTAATTAGAAGTTGATGTTTGATTTTAGATTAACTCATGTTTGATAGGTCTATTTCATAAGATCAGCTGATGTATATAAGAGTAGGTTCTTATATGTAGGTGGTCTACATTTATATTAAGGGGGCTGCTTATATTATTCACCAGAATCTTAGGAATAACCTGTAAATAAAATACAAATATATAGCTAAACATAGGGAATACCTTTGTACAGAAAGTATACTTTGTAGGTAGGTGTTTACTTAGTAGGTCTTTTTATGAAGCGAATAGCATGTCTAGAATAGGCATATATGTATAAAGACATTTGTCATCTGTTTTCAATATCTGACTTTCTCTTATGATATATAATAATGCAGACTGTGTTGGACACACAATATTAGATCAATTGACTCAAAATAATGTTATACAACTGTACAGTAATACCTATCTAGTGAGACACGCATTGGGTACCAACACCACTGTTAACATTTATGGTACCAAGTGTACATATTTATTAAAAGGAGAAAAAATTAACTGTAATGTCATGCATATGTTCGAGATTGATTTGGGCTGAGGTATTGGGGCTTGATTCAACTATATTTATTAAGTGTTCAAATTGGGAAGTGCTCATACAGGCAAGTTTAACTGTACACGCTAGTCACAATCAATATGATTCATCCGCATCCACTGAGATTCGTTTAGCACTTCATCTAGGACTCAGCACTTGTGTGAAATCTAACTGTATCAGGTATTCTTACATACCAGAGTCATGCAGATAACATGGGAACTTACTAATAAAGTGAACCAAAGGTGAATGGTTGAAGTGAACTTTAGGCTTTTCTCACAAAGTACAACTTGCTTATAAGTTGTTCAGTTTGTAAATGTTTTTTTGTTATGTTTGAAAGATTATCAGTTTAATGTTGAAGTTAAGTACAAAGCTAGCTTGTAATACTTGAAACAGTCCGGGTGCCAAGTGCCCTTAACCGCGCCTTGCAGATTGTAAGTATTGTTAGATAGACTTACTGTAGAAAGATGTTGTAAATATACACCTGGGATAAGAGCACTCCTATCATGTTGATTGTCATATTATATTGACCTGAATTTTTCATTGAGTTCTACAGTAGTTGTATCAATACAGTTGAACTTGAATTATAAGTTTAAGTGGAAAATCTATAAAGTAAATCATGTTTTTCTTTCAATGTCTTATTTTATATTTCTAGGTTCTGAAGTCTTAAGTGTACATTCCTGCAGTTCTATGTGATCTTGCCAAATTCTACAAAGACACAAAACAGCTTGAAAATGGATATACAACTTACAGATTATTAGATGATAATCTACTTAATTTAAGGAAATAGTATAATCACCATGGCATCAGATAGCCTTGATATTGATAATGAGCCCAAGATGGCTACCAGTCTACCCAAAGTGCATTATATGCCTTTTGAGAACACCGAAAACCCATCTCAGAAAAATGCTGAGATTGCAAAAATTTTAATCAATGGAGATGCACACTCAAAGTCAGATCAAAATCCGTCATCGAATCTGTTAACAAATGGATTTCCTGAAAATTGTAACCACGCTGATAGTGTTGTTGCTAATGGTGATTGTAGCCATGGAAATGAGGATAAAACAGACCCTGGTGATGGTGAACCTGGAAGTCCAGAAAAGCATTTATTCATAAAGAAACAAAATAGTCGTGGATCTTTAAAAAAACACAAATTAGATTTTAAAAATCCCAGTCCCGATGGTTCTATAAATAGTTCTCCTCGATCTCAAAAACAGCAACAACAACAACAGCAGCAAATAGACATTCAAAATATAGTCACATCCCATATTAGCAATGGGATAAATATATCCAGAACTGACAACAAAGAAAGGCCTCAGACCCCAGATCAGGAACTTTGCTCAGAAATCTCAACACCCGAAAAGTTTCAAACAAACAGTGTCAATGGATCCCATCATCCAGATGAAAACAGACTTGATCCCAAATCTATGGACCTCGCTCTCGATATAAATTCAATGTCCATTCAAAGTAAAGATAGTGGATACTTTGGTGGCAATTATAGTTCATCGAATATGAGTCCTATAATGAGCCCTCGGAGTGGTAGGAAAAAGAAGTCTCCCCCAAAGCAATCCTGGCTTCTAAGACTGTTTGAATCGAAGATGTTTGATATGTCTATAGCAATAACCTACTTATTTAGTTCCAAAGAACATGGTGTACAAATATATATAGGTAAGACTTTGAATTGTATTGTACCTTTAAACATGCATGTACAGTTTATGAGGAACACCTTTGGTGCCTCTAAAAAGTGTTCCACTTGGAAGGTGTTACACTACCCTGCGCGCAGAGTCTAGTTAAACTACACTCTGCCTAATAGAGATCACATTACAGTTTAGTAGCCCCGCCCCCACGACGGGTATCGGTGACAGTTTGGGTAATAAATCAAACATACGCCAAAAGCGTGCTAATTAAATATGCGCGTGCCATTGGTCAATTCCGGGCTCAACGATGACGTCAGAAGGAATGACCATATATAGAACGTCGGTCAAATTTGGCCGACGAATACCGATTGGCGCGGTGAGTTCACAGGTTTATTTTAGTTTGAAAGAGTGAAGACGAAGCTCTCTTTTAAGAAGTGAAGTCAAACGAATGCAAAGGGTAGTGTTACACTTATAGAGGTTCATTTAACATTAAGTCAGTTGGTCTTGGGACTCTAAAAAGAGTACCACTAACAGTGTTCCATGTCTAGAAGTGTTCTACTTTACAGTTTCACTGTATATATGCTTTACATTGGGCTTTACTGAAAAACAAGTATTTAAAACATGACGACATTCCATATGAATAATATCCCACAAACACTGAGAATTCAAAGTAATTTTTTTTTTTTTTTTTTTTTTTTTTTTTTCTCTTTTTTATTCATCAAATTTAAAATGTATACATATAAGTGAAAAAATTATTAAAGTCACTCCATTACCCATTCATTCACATTCTCCACTCATACCATCATACTGTTAAAATCCATTTTCATTTTTAAACAATAATCTAAATATGCCTTAAAGTTGTAATAATTTGGAGGCTCTTGTTGCATTTTCTTATTATATAAGTAGTACTTTCCTATAATAATTACCATATTTTCAAAATCACTCCATTTTGGGCTACCAAATAATACTGTAAGCAGAGAAAAATTTTCGAGATCTTTTAATGTATTATCTATTAATGACTTCCAAAACTGTTTGGTATAATCACAATTAAAGAAGATGTGGTCACAAGTTTCTATGTTCACATGGCAAAACTCACACATTGGTGAAGGAGTTATTTTGTATTGAAAAAGTTCACTATTTGTATACAAAATATTGTTTAAGAGCTTATATTGAAATGCCTTATGTTTTGAATATGTCAGGGTTTTATGAAAGTGTTCATAGTAAAATGACCAATCTTCTTCTTTAATATGATATTTATCTGATAAAGTGTGTTTTGCTGTTGGATATTCTGCAATAGCTTCCAGCAATATTTTATAAAATTCTCTAGATGTACATTTTAAAAAGTTGACTTCTGTATCGCTTTTTATTACTGTTATATTATCTAGAGATACCTGGTCATTCATATTTCCATTCGGTACTCTTAACCAATCTGATGGTATTGCCTGAATGAGGCCAAACCATTTTAGCATATAATTATGTGAAAGTCCAGTTTGCATTTTGACCTGATTCCATGATTTAACCATACCATTAAGCATAACATCTTTGATTCTTAGAAAACCTTTATCATAAAATTCCTTCCAAAATATTGATTTATTTCTGATGACAATGTTCTCATTATTCCAAATTATTTCATCCAATGCATTTTTCTTTGGTCTCCTTATAAGCGTATATGCCTTTAAAATATTATGATAAAATCTTGGGCTAATTGCATTTAGCTTGTTTATGTCAAAATTGCAGTTTAGCAAAAGTAAAAGCCCGCCATATTTATGGAGATAATGATTTGGAATAATTGTCCATTGTGATTCCTTTTTAGTATCCTTTAAAAGCTTTTGGGCCCATCTTAATTGAGAGGTTTGAATTTTGGTTTTGAGGTCGCTCATATTGAGTCCTCCTTTTTTAATTGTTGAAATAAGAGCTTTTCTTTTAATCTTGTCATTTCCGTTCCAAATAAATTTAAAAACAATTCCGTTTATTTCCTTTACATAACAATCATCTGTTTCAATAACTGAACTAATAAAGCTAAATTTTGACAGCCCAAAAGTTTTTACGATCTGTATTTTACCTAAAATTGTCAAATTTCTACTTTGCCATAGGCTCAATACCTGCTTAAGGTGATTAATTGTCGACCTAAAATTTTTCTCTGCTTTGAGCTTTCTATCATAATTAAAATACACTCCAAGAATTTTAATTTCTTGAACTTGTTTCAAGTGTTCAATGTCCCAAATTTGATCTTTAAATCTTCCTATTGTAAAGAGCTCAGTTTTGTCTAAGTTTGTTTTAAGGCCACTACATTTTTCAAAGCTATCAACACGGGGGATAAGCAAAACGAGGGCGAAGCCACGGACTGCGACTCGCGTAACCTTACACCGCAGCCCAGCGCCAAAATTGAGGGACATCCGGCAGTGCCTTCTGCTTCTTCCGACAAAATAGAGAAATCCAGGTATTTTAAATGCTATCGTAGTGTCTAATCGGTGACCAAAATATTACTCTGTATCTACTGTTGGTCTGTAGATAATAAAATAAGCAGTTGTCCAGATCAAGCTAAAACAGTAGCAAAGTTCTGATTTTACCTGTAAAATATGTGCATATTATTTAATTTACTATACATTTGAAAGGAGTTTGAACACGTTTCTGATATCTAAAGGTTAGTTGAGGCTCCGAGTATAATTCGTGAAAATGATTTGATAAAAGAATGTGTTCATGAGGAGAAAATTAGATTCAAACTGCGCATTCATAGTGGACGCAGTCCAGTAAACAAAGCTATTTCAACAACGCAACACAGCCTCCATTGATATTCTAAGCAACGCAGTCCAGCCGCGAACACGAAATAAATAAGATAGTGTAAACTATATTCCTACGCTATTATTGTTTCAGGAAAAGAAAGTCAGCATCCAAATTATCATTCAAAGTTACGTTGATTAACATATATCTATTACCTGAATCAATGTCCCAAATTGCTATATTGTATCGTTTAAGACCTAGAAATATGGCAATTCAATAGCGTATTTGGCAGAACAGTCGAGCGCAAGATGACAACGTAATATGTTTATTACAAACCAATTTGTGGATAGGGTTAAATATATAGATAATTGGATAGTGGTGAGACTTTTTATAAGAAGTAGAAATGCCAAACAATTAACTTTTTGATGATGCAATAAAAGTTTTCTGCTGGGGAAGGGTACATTAACTAGTATTTAAGATATCAGGAAAATATCAAATAATTGGAGAGTTGGTGAGTTAATGTAATTTTGGATGATCTTTCCAACAGTCCATCAATATTGCTAGCTACCATAAATTCATGATTTCAGCTGTATTTGACAGCTTGTATATATTTGCAGAATGGATTGAGACACGATGTACGTAGGTCTATTAAAATAGCCCTTTATATTCAATTTTGTCCAAAGTTGCTCCATTTCGGCCACACCTGTACACACATGTGCTATCTACCTTTGGCTGTGATTGCGTTCAGCTCCAGATATAAAGCAACACTGAGTCGCGGACTGCGTTGGGCAGATGGATGGACTGCGACTATCATAAATTCCAATTTTCTATGTAATTGTACGTTTTCTGCTTACCAAATATCACACGAAGATGTAATTGTATCAACAGAACATGAATAATTATATTAATTCGATGTCATTTCTGATTCCTTTGTTTAAATCGGTATATTAGGGACAAATATTGACAAAATTACATTTTTTGTGGCAGATTTCGAATTCATTTGTGTTCATGCTAAACTATTGGACAGCCGAGCACCAAGAATGCCATTGCAGGTGGAGTATGAATATGTTGATCACCGACTGGAACATACTAGCTATTCTGTAGAATATCCAAACCAATAATCTACCCCAAATCCTAACATGCCTTCCAAATTAAGTTTGGACTTACCGCCATTGTTCAGCTATAATGCGTTGTAACCTCGTTTTGAATTACGCGAGTCGCAGTCCGTGGCTTCGCCCTCGTTTTGCTTATCCCCCGTGATCAAGTACTTTCATTGACTGCAGTATAGAGTTTTTATCCCGAACAAACAACGTCATATCATCTGCATATATGCTCAGTTTTATTTCTTTATTACCAATTTGAATTCCTTTTATTAATGCATCATCTCTTATATTTTGGGCTAGAAACTCTACTAAAGTAATTATACATCATATACAGATCTGTAACTCTATGGCATTCAAGTTTGATAGAAATTCACTTTTTAACCATTAATAATTGATTGGGAGTGTCTAGGAGTTTTTATGGTTATAGAAGTGTTAAATCAGTAGGTATCCCTCGACTTGAAGGCAAGATGACCTAAAACATCAAATTCCCTAGTGTCACTCTGTTCCAAATATCTGCATGGAGTTATCTAGACCTGTAGTTTGAGATTCATTAGATATACTAACTTCTATGAGTCATATTATGCTGTTTATCATGTTCAGCATTCATTAGAAATCTAATAGGGGAGCTTCTAACAAATATGACACAGACACAAGATAAAGAGCTTATTTTCATCAGAATAAATACTGGGAATCCCAGTTTTCTTGGCATTACTCCATGTGTACAGGGGGGAGGAGTGGGGGGGCAGAGATTTATTTAAAGAGTACTCAAAATTGACATCATGGTGTGTTGCTGTACGTCCTGGTAGAATTTGACATAACCAATTAGTCTTAAAATTGACACATGTATGATTTTGTTCTGAGGATGATGCTTATGAGTCATGAATATTGAATATTCTCTTTCCATTGTTTTCAGTGTAACCCCTAAAGGTCATAATATGAGAACATCTACTGTTGTTTCACATGATGAGCCCATGTACATACTTATTAGTACACTAATTACTCAAGTGATCTAATGCCTCATGAAAGAAATTATTTTGTGAATAACTGAAAGTGCTGTTTTATGGCCTAGTCACATAGCCCGGCCGATGTCCGGCATCGGTAGAGCTCGGTGGATTTTTTTGGTGCCACCGAGCTCTCCTCATCGGAAGCAGAGCTCGGTGACGTGAACGGACTCCGTCCGGACATCTTCAGGCGACCGACCGAACACCGGCCGGTGACCGTACGGAGTCTGTCTCAAAATGGTAGTTTTTTCTGCCGATGTGGCAGCAACTACCGGCCGGAGGTCGGCCGGACATCGGAAGGAATACGGCCGGTACCCGAGCAGGTAACAGGACACCGTGCGATCGCCGGCCGGGTTGTTAACGGGCTTTGAACAGTGACCGGCCGATGCTCTGTCCAACATCGGCCGGAGCTTGGTCGGAGCTCGGCCGCTGTCCGTTAAAAAACCTCGTCCTCTGGTTGTCTCAGATGCACGGGACACCGGCCGATACTCGGCCGTGCACCGGCCGACGTGTTTTCCAATGTGGTTACGATGGGGCTGCGATGACATGATGAGGGAGCTCGGTGAGAGCCCGGTGAAATTTAACTCCGAAGTTTAAATTTCACCGAGCTACCACCGATGCGGTTTTAAGCAACAAACGCCACGGATGTCCGGCCGGTGTTAGGCCGAGTTCGGTGAAAATTGCATCGCTGGCTCATCGTAACCTCATCGGCGGGGCTATGTGACTAGGCCATTAATAAGAAATAACCCTTTGATTTCTACGAGACTCTGGGCCTCTGGGTAACACTTTCATATTGTGTTGTGTTATATTCACCTTAGCCCCCCCCCTCATGTATAAGTATCATTCATTTTGTGTTTTGAATGTAGAAAAATTTGGAACATAGTCTTAAAGGGACATGTTCTTAAAGATATCCCTTCAGTTTAATGCAGTAAAAAATTTGCAATGGGATTTTTAGAATTACAAGATTGTATCAAGATGATGGGATGATTTTCATTTCAGTAGCATCATCATATTGTGGTAGAGTATAAAAGTACATGAATTAGTCAAAAAAGATCATGGCATGCATATTATAAATCAAAATTAGAATAGAATTTAACAATTTTTATCATTTTGCAATTTTTAGATGAAATTATACTACATTTGGCACCAAAAGTTGTCAAATTAGTTCCCGAGTTCACACTCACAGTTTATTTGTAAATCAGTAGAAAACCTTTAATTCACATAAAACGAAAGGACAGTTCGAACAAAATGTACATCCTTTTAGAATGTGAACATGGTCTAAATCAGAACTAGAATAGTGCTTGTTCACCATTCTGATACTCCTAACATCTTTTTGTTGTTTCATGCAATGCCATGGTTTATCATGATGCTTAGGCTCATGTATGCCTAAATCATAATACACTAAATACAGTGTACTTTAGTTGCAGCTAGCATATTGTTAATAAATATTAAATATTTTCTTTGTGTTATAGGGAACAAAATGTTCAGCTTTAATGATGAGAGTGTTGACTTCTACCTGCCTCAATTGCTGAACATGTATATCCACATGCATGACGTTGCAGAGGCTTTACACCCATACCTAGTGTCAAGGTATGTCAGTTATACTTTTGAAGTACTTGTGATCTCCCCCCAGTGTAGAGTAATCTCAAAATTACATGCCATCCTGTTGAAAATCTGTTTACACCTTGCACCTGCCCAAAAGCTTGAAAAATTGAGATATTTTCACCAAAAGAGGTATTTATATTTACATCATGTTGAGAACATTCCTAGTTGGTGATGACATGACTGAAATAATAGGCTTGAAATAATGTTTGAGAAGTACATGTGTAGTTGTAAGTTGTATTTCCAGACCTCTATAGCTCAATTACTAAATAATCTTTAATTCTTTATCTTAATTATCTTTTTCCTGGTCTGTACAAAGGGGTCTGACAAAGTAATGTTAAGAAATTCCTGGGATACTGATACAGTACATGTATAGTTAAAATACTAAAATATTTGATATTTTTTTGCCAGGTGTCGCACAAGTGTTGAATTCTCAGTTAAATGTGCTTGGCTGCTGAATGCCTTCACAGCAAATGTACACAAACCTACTTGGAAGAACTCACAAGGTGTAAAACTGAAAAATATGATCATCAATGAGGAATTGAGGTAGGGAATCGTGTATTACACAGTGCTTTAATTAAATTTATTATATATTTTAAAGGCCCTTGTTTGTTTATCATTCTGTTCTCAAATGTTCCTGTCCATCTTGTGTCTTGGCAGTTTTACTCAAAAATAATGTCCAAACTTCTGAAATAAATCTAAGCCCGAGGGCTGAATTAAAATACTGTATACTTTTATATTAGAAGTTGTACATTTCAAAAAGTAGTTCAAAGCCATAATAGGGTTACTACGAGTATTGTATAACCCCAAACCTATGTACCATCGGCCATCGTGTTGGTAAAGTAAGAAAACCCAGGGTCAATATGACTTGGTCTATTCTGACATGAATATTAGTTACTTAATGAATGTTGAGGATTATTACTTATATGTTGTCTGGACCATTTTGTTATTATAGGCCCCTCAAACACAAGAGCCCTTCTAGTCCCACAAGGCCAGAGCCCTCTACACTGAGCCCTACAACCCCAAGCAAGAAAACACACAAGAGGTCACAATCGGATGCTACAGGTACATGTGCAGCACAATAATTTAAAGCTCCTTTAAGAATCCTTATCCCTTATTATCAAATAAGCTTTGTTCTCAAGGCAGATAAAGTATGAGCTTAAACTCTCTGCTTGAAAGGTTATTTCTCCCAAAAGATGAATTACCATATTTTGGCTTTTTGAATTTGAAGTTTTTGCCTTAACTTGATGATTTCATTTATTTATTTCATACCTTTTCAACCATATTCTGTTGACTTGATTGGTTTCAAGGTGATATTGAAAACATGTAAATTCTCTTGTTTTGTTTCTACATTGCAGGTGCTTATATGAACACTGGTCTGAAGCGCACAGCAAGCAATGGTAGTACAAGGTCCCTACTCCCTGGGGACTTGATGACAGGGAAGGCATTTGACAGCGGCTGTATGTGTCATGAATCATCTGAAGCTGTGCTGGATGACCTGCTGGGGAAACACACTGTTTGCCATTGTGATGTAAGTAACAATGCTATTGGTAAATTAGAACATATTATCAATTTAGATGCCTGTATTGTCGTGATGTAAGTAACAATGCTATTCAAGGTTAAGTAAAATAGTTGAAGGGTAGGGGTCACATTGGCTATATGTAGGTAGACTATAGGTGCTTTGTTCATCATTTAGCCTCTTAACTGAGGCCTCTAAATATGAAGTTGTCTCACAGTGGCTTATATTACATATATTTCTTCTTCAGTCAGCCAGGCTTACACCACAGTTAGAGTTTGTCAAGGCCATGCTGAATATTGGCAAGAAGCTCCAGGCGCTACCCACCAAAGAACTTAGGAGTAAGTCAAAAATAAACTATACATATACTTTTAATTATTTATATCTTCAACTATTTTTGGATGGTGTTTGACATCAGGCAGTTGATGTGGGGTGGTTGGTGTATGAGGTCTGTAACAATGGCAGGTGAAAATTAAGAAATAGCATATTATGTCTTTTTGAGAAAAAAGCCAAACATATAATGGAATATTATGAATTATATTGCATTTTGATTGTTTTCTGTTACAGCTCAACGACTCATAGCAGAACTATCCATGTTGAACCTGAACCTTCCCGCCAAGGTTTGGCTACCTACTGAACAGAACAGTGACCACCATATTGTCCGCATACCACATACCTCAGCAGTTGTCCTCAACTCCAAGGAAAAGGTGAGTGTTTATAGTTTCACATTTAAAGCTACAGTTGTTTTTCTCACTGATCACCTGACTTCACAATGCCCTATTGAAATCACCTGATTCTTATCAGATTTTCCCGAAGAGTGATAATCAGAAGATCTTTGATTTTGACATAAACAATAATTCACTTGTCCCATATGGTTTAGGCTTTTTTAATTTAAAGTAAGGATATATTTGATCTCAGGTGAAACAAATTTTTATTTAAAGGAGGACCCTCCATATTAAAAATACAAAGACTGTTATGAAAGTACTCAAAGCATTGTAGATGGTTTATTCCAGTAATGTGTTGTTTCCAGGCCTTTGCATGAGTGCGGTAGCTCAAGTAACTTTCCTAAAAGTTGTTTTCTCTTATATTCCAGGCACCATACTTGATATATGTGGAAGTAGTGAGTTGTGACAGCGCTGTAGCTGCACCTCCCCCACAGAAAATTTTAGAGAACACGTTGCGCTATACTAAGTCTGAAGAAGATTTGACTTCATTTTATACCAACAAATTAGATGTTTATCCAAGACCTGAAATGCCCTTATATGGGAATGCAGAGTTTGATGATGCTGATTGTTGGTCTCAAGAAGATGATGAAATCATTCAGGTAGGCCTTTACATATATAGATATCATACATAAACAGTAAAACCTGTTGTATGCCATTGGGAGTGGCCAAAAGTGTTTGAATTGGTAGGTGTTCATATGTCAAGGTTTTTCATCATGGAGTCCTTTAATTTTTTGTTATGTGGCCAAAAAAGAATTTACATTGCGAGTTGTTGAGATTAGAGTTGTTAGGTTTTACAATATAGTCTTGACAGAATGAACCTAAATTCATATCATTGACCAAAAACTGGATGACAGGAAAGAACTGTAATCACTAGCCTTATTATTGCTCTTTACAGTAAAGAATGTAATAGAGAACTCATATAGAGAGCGTCTGTCCAGGCAGTAACTCAAATACCATTGGCCCAATATCATATTATTCGTATATGTCCCATGCTCCAAAGCCGATTTTCAAAATGGCAGCCAGTTACAAAATGGCAGCCAGTTACAAAATGGCAGCCAGTTACAAAATGGCCACCATTTTAGTGTCTTATGACACATTGGTTAGTATATGGCTGGAAAAATGGCTACCGTTTTTATGTGAATTATTTCAAATTCTTTACTATAACACCTATGTCTATGTCTATGTCAATAATCTGCAAAAGGCTAATAAGCCCATATAAAGCAGATATGTAATTTAACAGTGATAGAATTTTAATAGAATATAATTTAAAATCTTAACATTTAAAAATAGATCTATGGTTTACAACTCATTTTAAAATTGAAAGGAACCTTCCTGGTTGGCCCCTGTACCCCCCTAGGAAGTCCCTTTATATTGAAATACCCTGGGGAGACTGTCAGGCTACCGCGTTGACATCACCCCTCTTTACCAGTAGTGCAGGCTTGTTGCTGTGCACTGGGGACCCTTTACATTAAAACATAGATCCATATTAAAAACACACCTATTTAATTGCAGTTATTGACATAGTCATGGTATGATGATTTAAAACTACTTAGACTGTCACAGTCTAAGATGTCACCAGGTAGAGTGTTCCATTTAGCTATTGTCCTAGGGAAATAGCTAAATTTGTATGCATCCGTTCTAGTTGATGGTTGTATGAACTTAGAAGGATGATACAACCTAGTGTTGGTATTGATCTGTTGGCGGAAGTATGGAGGCACTTCGATGGCTATGTTCTGCTTTCCTTTGTAGAAAAGGAAAACTCTAGCAGCCTCTCGACGCTCCTTCAGTGGCTCCCAAAAGTAGTGGAGCGAATATTGACATTTTGATTGTGACTACATGCACTAAAGAAGCATATGTCACATTCTTATGACAATTTGGCTTGTTTTGTGTGTTGTTTTGCATCTTTTGCTATAACTGGAAAAGTATTGGATGGATTTGTTGAACAATGTAGACAATTAGAATCATATTGTCACTTTTATGACAAATTGAATTGAAGCGGCCATTTTATGTGTGCTACTGCTATTTTACATCATTGCTTTAATTTTAAAAGGAGTGGAGCAATTTTGTAGTTTGATATGTGAATAGTGAATACAGAAGCATATTACACTTTGTAATGACAGTTTGGCTAGTAAGTGGGCATTTTGAAAAATAACAGCCATTTCTATGTGTGTTATTTTACTTTTTTGTTGTAACTGAAAAAGTAGTGGATCGATTTGGTTGAAATTTTATATGCGAATACTTAGAGGAATATTACTGACAATTTGGCTGTAATATATAATATAGAGAATTATCGTTTTTACTTTCATTTCGGGCTTAGGAAATAGAGTTCAAACATACATGGAGTTTAACATGTAAACATATGAGGAAAAACACTAGTTCCTAACTTTTTGAGGATTATACTCACTAGTTCTGTTGGCCCAATATGATATTTAAAAATGACACCCATTTTTATATGTGTTATTTTATGTTGTTTTTTTGCTATAACTCCAAAAATAGTGGAGTGGTTTTGTTGAAGCATATTTCACCTTCTTATGAGAATTTGAGTGAGCAACCATTTTGAAAAATGGTGGCCATTTTATGAGTGTTATTTTATGTATTATTGCTATAAATGGAAATCAGTGGAACGATTTTGTTGAAACTTTATATGTGAATACTTAGATGCACATTACACTATCTTATGACAATTTGACTTGTGAGTGGTGATTTTGAAAAATGGTGGCCATTTTTTATGTGTGTTATTTTACATTTTTTTGCTTTATCTGAAAAGTAAAGTAGTGCAACGAGTTTGTTGTTTATAAATGCTCAAATGATCAATTTACAGCTTTTCTGCCTCACAGCTTTATGTCACTTTCACTGCTCTCCATCTTCTTACCAGATTGTATAGTTTTTGTCACAGCATGATGGAATTAGTTTTTCTTTTCTTTTTAGACCCCCTTTGAGCTAGAGTTGTAATAATGAATTGCAATACACATTTTCTGTGAATTAATCTATATGAATAGTGATGTCCAGTTAAGAATATCCAGCAGTTTGTGGATATAATGCTGTGATGTTCCAGAAATAATACATGTTACTGGTACTTAATTTTGAAAGAAGTTGTTAATTATGTATGCTTCATCCAACAACAGACAATATTCATTTATAAAGAACTTCATTATAAAAGTTAAAACCCATGAACACGAAAGGGGGACTTTTGTATGCAACTTTTATTTAAAAGATGCATTTTTGAAAGTTTCTGCATGTACATGATGATGAATGTCGTGATAAAACTTATAAACATTATCCATGATCTGGGTTTCAACTTAAAAACCTAAGGGCAAATAGTTTTCTTGCCTATTGAACATAAGTATACACAATGACAATGACATGTGTCATTATTTAACATTATTTAACTTCTTGTATTACATATGCACTTTTATATGTTCTCAAAACATGTGCACTTTATAGCACTGATTTCCATCTAAAGCAAAGCATCTAAAAGTTAAGTTACTTGATGTAGATTCCTACATTTATACTAATTATACCCCTAATATCAATTATTAATTAATTAAGGACTACTCATTAGTGATTTAAAAACACTCAGTGACAATTTGATTTACTATTTGTTCTGAAGGTAAATGTAATGAACTTTAAAGTACTACAGTTAGAAAATCCATGGTTATTTACATGTTTGCTGAAATATTGTTTTCATTGAAAGGTTCTTGACTTCTTTTTTAAGAAACGTTTTAAATGTGGAGACATTATAACCAAACAGTATTAAAAAACATTGAAGAATAAAACCAGCCATAAAGACACCAACTTCAAGTCACAAACTTCCAAGTTATGATACAAGTAAATAACAGTGTCTGACACACCCCCATCATTCAGAAAGCACTATTTAAAATAAACACAGTACAGCCAAAGTCCTTATTGCATGTGTAATATTTAATATTCGAGATAAATAATAAAAACACCTACCTCTTTTGTACCCTTTTACATTACAGACAACATGTGGATAAAGAATCTTGAAATTACCATTCCATTGCTTTTGAATATGTGTGGAACTGTATTTATTAATTCACAAAATTAAAGCTTATAATTATGGGAAAATATACAATCTACATGTATGTTTATTGTAGAAAATTGGCTTCTTCTCTTATATTAATACCATAAAATCCTTCTTAAAACATTATGTATTTCTAAAAGTATAGTTGACAGATATACCAATATGAAAACTAAATACTTATAAATCAGATTATGTAAAGGATTTAATCACATTAGGATAGTGTTATATTTTCTACAATTTAAATATTTAACTCTTATTCAGATCATTCATGTTATCGAGAAATGTAAACAAATGATAACGGTAAACGTATTTATCATTTATGCAGAGTTCAAAAGATGGCAGCTGTGTATAGTTCATGATAATCACTTATCATGATTTCGCAATACAGGAACCATGTGTTCAATGGCTGCCTGCCAATTGGATTTAATACACAGCTTTCATATGCACAGAATTTTTCATCAAATAAAAGCTTAAAGAAAATCAATATTGATTTAGTTCCTATCAAAATTATAGCAAAAGTATATTTTATCATACAACGAAGGTTGTAAATGTGCAATTCTTTTGATATTTAAGCAATACCTACATGAATAATTAAACAAACATTTTCATGTACCCATATAGTCCTTATTTTGACTTCATATATATACATTTTCATATGTTGTACATGTTAAGATCATACTTTTAGGGATCATTTCTATAGTATGCTTCGCAAGGACATCAGGTAAAACTGATTCCGGATGGAAAACCATGAGGAAGAGACAAAGTGCTACCTTCTGAGCGTGAAGCGGGCTTTGGGTATCACCCTAGGTGATCTGCCCCTTGCCATTGATGACCGTTCCTCTCTCCCTTGGGGGAGTTGGAGGAAGGTGGCACATTCTGAGTGGTTTCCTTCTAATAAACAAAATTAAGCCTCCCTCCCAACCACCCATCTATCCCTGAAAACTTCAGTGGATTTTGGTGAGACCCATTAACTTTTGTCTCTCTACATTTTCCAAATTAATTATGGCAAATAAGTTGTAAGTTTGTGTCCCACCTTAGGAATTTGATAATGTTCAGTTTGAAAAGTTCATAATATATGTTCTATGATAAATAAATCTGGACTTAGTGCTAATGCAATTAAATTGAAAGAATTGGTACAAGAACATGAGCATGCAGAGTTACCACATTTAGAGACTAAAATATCAGAGAATTTTAGAAACATTGCAGTCAGTGAATGTGGTATAGAATATCATGATGTCACAGATGTTTGAAATCAGCAGTTTTACAACTTCACTGCTTTAATTCCACTTTGTATAAACTTTTAAAATTGATGTGACATGCTTCCTTTTCAGTTTTTATGTTTTTATTAATATTTATGTCACCACCAGAAGTGGTGACATATTGTATCTGTCTCCAACTTTTTGTGATCTGTGATGTTCAGTGGTTGGTATTTTGGTGTTTGGTGTCTGTGACAAATGCCTTATTCTCATTTACAATGTAATATGATTTTTATGTTGCATCCAAAAGTGGTGACATATAACGACTTTTCTCTGACAGTGTTCTATGGTTAGTGATTGATGTTTGGTGTCTGTAACACTTTGCAATAACTTACTAATGGTTGCATTTTGTCATGTTAAAACCTTGTTTGAACATGTTTTATTCATTGTTCATATGATAGAGAACCAAAATGTTAAGTCCAAGTGACTTCTATAAGGTTATTATGAATTCTATTCTTTTCTCTTAGTAGTGATGAAACTAAAATGGTATTTAAAAGAATTTCCTCATAATATATTTTCAGTTTGCAATGAAGGTGAAACAGAGTGACACAATATCTCAGTTCTCTACTGAAAGTTCAACGAGTGCAGACAGCAAGGATCCTGTCTATATAGCTGCAGGTGACATCCGTAGAAGACTTTCAGAGAACATAGCAGCCCCCAAGACAAAGTTTGAGGTATGCATGACTTGCACTAGTTAGGGAATGTCTCATTATGTTTTGCACTGAATTTTACATAAAATCACTTGTTTAGTGGGTGGATGTTTTATTATCTAAGAAGTACACTTCAGCACTCTTTTCTGGAAAAAAATTCCCACACAAATTTTGACTTGAGTTTGATTAGATTTATTTTAAAAAAATTATCACTTCATGTTTTTAAAGTTGAAGACTTAAAAACACTCAAGAAAAAATCTCCAAACCTACAATGGATCATACTGTGCAAAGGTCATTTTTCATTGATTGTCATTTTAGCGCGATCCTGAAGATCCATCGGCTGCAGCACTCAAGGAACCCTGGGAGGAGAAAATACAACGGATACGAGAGTCATCGCCATATGGACACCATAGCAACTGGAAACTGATGCCAGTTATCATCAAATGTGGAGATGATTTAAGGCAGGAGCTAATTGCCTATCAGGTCCTCCAGCAGTTAAAGGTACAAAACATTATTAAACAAGCACTATGTATATTTTTGAAGAAAAGAGGATGAAATAATCTTTGAGACATGTTATTTTGACGTTGATGTATCCTGTACTATAAGATTCAGTACTCTCTGTTGTCATCCATATCACACAGTTTGATGTCTGTGTCAACATTTTGCATATATGTTTTCCTGGGAAGTTTTTGCTTAAGAATTTCACTCTAAAAATCACATATCGTTCATTTTGACTTAAAGAGCCTTCTTATCAAACAATTGTAGCCCCGTGTACTTAAGTAATTATTTTCTTTAATAAAAGAGGCATGTTAAATCTAAGATGACTATATCAGTTCACCCTTGCTAAGGCTCAGCTCATTGTTTCAGAACATCTGGCAAATGGAGCATGTTCCTCTGTGGATCAGGCCCTACAACATTGTAGTGACATCTTCAGACAGTGGCATCATAGAGGCCATTGTGAATGCTGTATCCCTACACCAGATCAAGAAAAACAGTAAAATGTCCCTCCTGAACTACTTTATTCATGAGTATGGTCCTCCCAATAGTGAGGAGTTCCTGGAAGCTCAGAGGAACTTTGTTCAGAGCTGTGCTGGTTATTGTATGGTGTGCTATCTTATGCAGGTCAAAGATAGGTAGGTACACATGTACATTGTACAGGGTGGTCCAAAAAAAATTGGAACATTTGATAATTGAACGCAAAACCTTTATTTTTCTTCTAAAATGCACCAAATTTTAACTGAGCTTAGTTCAGTCACTTATTTATCTGATGTAAAGTTTATGGGTGCAAACAACAAAGTTAATGCATTAAACTAGACAATGTTTGATATGACCCCTCGACTCCTGAATTACAAGTTGAAGCCTGGGACTCAGTTTTGAAATGATTCATTCACCTTGCTGTTCGTTTGATTTAGTCCAAGACATCTTGATTAAAAAATTCAGCTTAAACAAACTACTTATATGTTTGCCTTGGAAGATCAAATATGTGAACACATTCAACATTTTTTACCCAAATTGATGGGTATCAAGCATATTTTGATGGCTATTGTTAGGTGTATTACTGATTGAATATTCTCAAGAAAGAGGCCAGGGCAGTCTGTTTTGACTGGTAAATGAGCCCCCCTCCCCCTTTCTTGTTCTAATGTGGATAATATTCATTGAATATATCAATATATGTATATCAATATCATAAAGGAGTTTCCCAGAACACAAATGACATATTATATGTGCTTAGAGATGGTCTTGAATAAAGCCTTGTAAATAACTGGTCAGTTTCCCCTTCACTGAAAAGTGGAAACAATGATTTTGTCACTTTAGTAGCTGTATGGGTTATAAATTCACTCACCTTTTACATGTTCTTTCTTTCCAACTCTTAAATAAAAATAATGATTTGGGGTATTCTTAAGTTAACGATAACACAATAGTTTTCTAGTAAACCATAGATGCTTTTCAACTAAATATGATTTTATAAAATGTGTATAGCAATCAACATGTTCATTAAAGCGTTGAAATAAAGAAAACTTGAAATAGTAGTGGCGAAATTGACAAGTGTATATTTGAGAAAAGGGGGTCATATCAAACATTGACTAGTTTAATGCATTAACTTTGTGGCTTGCACCTATAAACTTTACATCAGAGAGATAAGTGACTGAACTATGCTCAGTAAAATTTTGGTACATTTCAGACGAAAAATAAAGGTTTTGCGTTCAATTAACAAATGTTCCAATTTTTTTTGGACCACCCTGTACATACAGATCAAATTAAGATCCTCAGGGAAAAAACATTTTTGTTTGATTTCAATTTTATGTATAATAGCAATGCTCAAGCCATTACACACAGGCTTATTTGATGTGATTGTTTGTGACTCTATGAGTGGTAGGTCAGAAGAGTATGGAAAGAAATGTAGATATATGAACCTCATTGGATAAAAATGTGTTACTAGTATTACATACATTAATTGTATTCTCAGCTGAGAAAAGTCTACATCCTTTATGTCTTTCAGAGTTAATTCTACTCAAGCACTAACCATCAACATTGTTTTTTTTGTTGTAGACACAATGGGAACATCTTGTTGGATGCTGAGGGTCACATGATCCACATTGACTTTGGCTTCATCCTCTCAAGTTCTCCGGGAAAGAACATGGGGTTTGAGAGTGCATCATTTAAGCTAACTCAGGAGTTTGTTGAGGTGATGGGAGGCGAAGGTTCTGACATGTTTGAATATTTCAAGATCCTTCTTCTACAGGGATTTGTGTCTTCTAGGAAACACATGGATAAAATACTACCTCTAGTCGAGATAATGCAGATGGGTGAGTAAATACTGTCACAGTGCATTGGGTTATATGAAGTCATGACTCATTTAACATATTTGAAAGGGTATCTTCACTATAAACTTTACTTAAACTGACTCGAGAGGGAGACATTTTAGATTTTTGGACAAATGGTTCAATAGCTAAAATTGCATTATGAAACTAAAAGTTGTCGTTAGAAAAGTAAAACGTTGTTCTTTAAATGCTACATATTTTAATTACAACAATTTTAACCTTATCATTGAAACATTTAAAGGATTTCTCTAGAATGTCTGTAATTTTTCAGGCTCTACTCTGCCATGCTTCAGTAAAGGTGTCACCACTATACGTTCCATGCGGGACAGGTTCCATCTGAACCTTACAGAGGAGCAACTCCAGCTCCTTGTGGACCAAATGGTTGAAGGCAGCATCAACTCCCTAACAACCAAACTGTATGATGGATTCCAGTACTGGACTAATGGCATTTTATAAACACGTGACATTTGTGGACATTTTATGGATATTATGTACGAAAAATAATTATCAAAATTCACAAGTGCTTTTCTTTTATGGACATACTCTTCCAGTGTTTCATATACCAAAGCATGAGCTCCTCAAGTTATATTGGTTTTCTAGAGTACAATATATCATATTTTCCACATAAAAAATGATAGATCCCAGTAGATAGTGAGTTATATAGAATTGTAAAATTGTGCAGTATAATATTGTATTTGTAAAATATATAATCAACTACTTATTGTACAAAGAAATATACAATTCAACAGTCATAATGACAAATCATATTTTTTCAAACTCTCAAGATGGGCTAGCAATTTTAGAACACCGTTGTAAAATATCATGGACCAAGGTATTAATGTGGTGGAAAACACTGAATTTGAAGCTTAGCAAAATGAAACAGAAAGAATAGAAAAGCAGTAATTTTTGAGGAGATTTTGACGTAAGATTTGTGCTCAATTCTCACTGAAGAAAAGTAATACTTAACTTATTTTAAACAGGACAATTTTAAAATAGCTTTGAATAAGATAAATACTACTGGCCAAAAGCATGCCAAAGATACTGTATAGAATATACTGTAAATTGTTATAATTTGGAGCCCACTTTTTGATGGTAAACTCTGTCCAATATTGACACCAATTTTAATCCCAATTACTGTTTATATGTTATTCTGTTGTATTTCAGGGGATTTTTGCAACTATCTAACAATTAAATTGCCAGGGTCTTGAAGATTTTGAAAATACAATATATGTAAAATCAAAAAGTGACAAATTAAACCAATTTACAGTATACCTTTGTACTTAATTTCCTCAACTGCTAGTGGGGGGTATAATACAGACTGTACAGATACAGATCTGGCATATGCCTTTCTCAATTTGAGAAGTTTAACAAATTCCACATTGTACATAATGTAAATGAATTGATTGTATGGACCTTTTAATGCTTGAACCAAAAGATGCTTATATTAGTAGCAAAGAAAATGCATGAAATTGTAACTGTACTGCAATTGTATAAGTGAAGATGTATATAAACAAAACAATGCAATAAAATAATGAATATTTAATGGAATATGAATATTGTTTTATATCTCAAAATAGCTAGGCCAAACAGAAATCCTATATGACCTCACTGACTTGCTTATTTGTATCAGATAAAATTGACCATTTCCTCTGAAGTCACTGTGTTCAACTGCACAGGCTGTTTCTAAAACTGGATTCTATACTTCTCAGTTCTGACAGTAGCCTCAAAATTTTATGGGTCAAATGACCCAGTTCAATCAAAAAAGTGGGTCAAACTTGGAAAATGTGGGTCAAATTGTATTATGATAATTAAGCTCAAAAATAAATGTGCTGCAATGACCAATGAGACTGGAACGCTGCAAATCCATAAAACCTGCAATTGTAGCAAAAATGTTTTTATGATGGCGAGTGAAAAGTAACAGTCAGCACCATCTATCTTCTACAATATATTATACTTGGAAATTTGTAACGAATAATAAAATTTTCTTCTCACGTGGGGAGCTTTCATCCTGATGATATAATATATTTTTTTCACTTTCATATTTTTTTAACTTCTACGAAAAAGTCAATTTTAACATTTCTTGGCGATCTTTTATCTGGGTAAATGAGATATGAGTTTATGTTGTAATTCAAGAATATCGGCAATAATTGCAAGAAACTATACTGAATTTTTACGATTTGCAAGTGACTTTGGCCATGATGTAAGTACTTTAAGAAATGTTTTTACAATTAGTACACTGTGAATTCAGTTTCGTTGTTTCTGATTGGATTAAACTGGATCAGCATTTTTTGAACCAATGAGAGACATATAATTTGATCGGTTAGATATTGGTCAAAACTTTGTTTTGTTTATGTAGTGCTAATTCCCACGAAATATATCTGAGGATCAAAGTTTGTCAATGAAATGCAATAGGCTGTCTGTTCTGTGTCAGACTTGATCAAAAGTGCATAAGTGCATAAAAACGGTGGTAATGCCAGCTCTATTCTATAAGCAGATTCCATTCAAAATGGTCAATATAAAATTATTTTGTTAAATCAAATGATTGTAAATTTTTATCTTAAAAATTCAATTGTGTTCTCAATTCAATACTTTGAGTAAAAATATTCACCAATATTCATCTTTCCAACAAATATGAAGGAAATCCCTCCTTACCTCTAGTATTCGAGTTATCTTCAGGACAGATGAGTGGATGGACTGACTGACGGAGGGCTTTGCTATATCCCTACCAAACTTTTTATTAATAAAGATTGAAAAGCAAAATGTGCAAATGGCACAATTAGAGAGAAATAGGGTTCAATTTTAGAAATACCATACTTAGTTTCCTATTCCTGTCTATCAGAATACAGGTTTCACTGTATAATAGTTCTCTAGTTTTATTGGTGAACTTCGATCAGCCTGACTAATACACATACACCTTACTTAACAAAACAACTACAATTTCAATATAATATTATATATAACAATATTTATTTGCTATTATGTTGGTACATAATAAAGCTATCTTGCTGATCAAGTAAATTGAGGTTTTGATGAAACTAAAAATGAACTATATCAAATGTTTTAAATTCCATATACTTTACGATTAAATGCAAATTTCTAAGATTCTTGAGTTGATTTGAGTCAATATGATTGGATCATTTTTTCGATGTCAAAATGTTGTTCTAAAATAAACATCCTTGCTTCTCGTATAATAAATACATTCCTGATATTGTAGTGATAAGAGCCGCTAAAGGTTTATATATAACTGTCACTCCTCACGCGTAAACTAAACTGTACATGGCTAAAATTTCCTAGGATAAGTGGGGCTATTGCTTATTCCATTCTGCTTTTTCCTTGGATTCTCTCTCAACTTCCTCCAAATATGGTTGTAGGTAATGGACATCCTGGAACATAATTTACAAACATTAAATAAAGTCAGTCTAGTGTTCAATTAAAGGCAGAATCTGATGATAAAATTGCAAGCAAAACATAATATAATTTTTCTCAAATATATCAAATTTTCCCAAATTATAAATGTGGATATCCAAAGGAAATTGAACGTATAAATTCAAATATTTTTACTTTTCCAGAATTTGGAAAATCTTTAGAGGAATGCTATGAGGCATCAAGTCCAACACCCACCTCATGTTTCAACTTCCAAAGTTCATCAAAATTATTAATATTTTTTCTCAATATTTTGAAATACATATTCTGTGTTTGAACATGTTAATAAAAGATACATACATCTTCATATTTTGTCCATTGTTCTTTAGGTAAAGTTATTTTTTTGGCGCTAAGATTCAAGGCTCTGAAAAAGAAAAGATGCATTGCTTATTACAAAACAACAAAAAAAGTCTTCACACAATGTTAACTATTTCTGAACTAGGTCAATAGATTTTAATGTAAGCCACCAAATTACCACGACAAATATAATTATGACAAGCCATTAATATGCATAATGTCACCACCTACCATTTGTTACAGACACCGAACACCATAACACTTAAACTATAACCACTTTTGATGGTGACATATTAAGATCATGTTTACCTCCTCCACTCCTTAATGTTACTGAACATTTCTTAATTCAAATTGCATTGCTCTCCAAATCTATATCTATAGTACACGACCAAAGTATAATGGATTTTTATCCCATTCCCCAAATGTCTGAGTGTTATTCATTTGAGGCATGTATCAATGTGTATGCTCGGTGCCAGAAGGATGTAAGTGCAATTTTATCAAAATTGAGATTTTTGCATAAAACAACGAATTATTACACTTTCTATACCCTGTTAAAATATCTAAGCCTATAATCTCATTGTTTGATTCCTGTATGTGACACAGTGACTGACTGCGTAACTATCGCAATAATTTCCCATTTTTATTATATCTATCACAATATTTTCTGCGGAATTTCTTGCAGAAAACTGGGGAGTAATATTGGATGTCTTTAAATGGGTATAAGTTAAACTTGTAAACTTTACCAGTATAGGGAATATAAATCTTGTGTTAAAAATCCAGTTTGAATTCATATCTACTCAAAGTATCTTCTTTCTTCCAAGGATTTCAATCTGTGATTCCAAATGAAATGATTGTCAAGACAATTCGCAATTTTTATTTTTTAACAGATGAACATTAATATTGTAATTTGGTACTTACCTAGTAATTCTAAATTGGCGTTCATCCATCACATTTCTTGGGAGGCGTCTAAGAGCCTCTGAAACCTGTGGGGTCTCATTTAAACAGTCATCCCTCATCAAACCTAATAAAATATAAAATAATAAATAATCAAATAAAAAATGATCATGTTAGTTAAGAAAGAAAGTAGAGTCTATCTTAAGGTGTTGTTTTTTCAATTGTCTCTTTTCACCTTCAAACCTCCTGAAATAAAGTCAGAACTATTGAACTAATAAATAATTGAGACCAAAAATCATTGCAAAACTGTGACAATCGAAACTTCAATTTTTATATGGCTGAACAATAATAAACTGACTTACCCAACTGATTGAAATACGACATGTTGTAAGCCCATTTGGACAATGCTACCCTCCATGCTGGCCTCACTGAAATGAAATTTGATTATATTTATGCTTATTTATTTAGAATATGTGGTCTCGAATCAGGGATAAATAAGACCCGACTGACAGATAACTTTGACGCCCCTCAGCCAGCTCGTCATTCTTGATCACTCGATTATGTTATCTTCGTTCTGGCATTGGGTACATACAATAGGCAACTAAATAATTTCAAAACACAGAAATTGACTGTGTAAGCTATGCATATATTTCTCACCTCTTTCGATTCGTAACACCACAAGAAACATTCTCCCAAATGCAAAAAAGTAGTGGTTATCTCAAATTGCAGTGAAATATACTTCAATCTTTATTCATTCAAATACATTGTTGTGTTTTTAATACCCATGATTTATGTTGCTTGCCTTGATTTCATATTTGTTGACTGAACTGATTTCCAAGGCTTGTAAGGATAATTTTCCCAGGAATGAAGAGATGTAGAAAGGTAAACATAATATTCATGGCCTCTGATGGCTGATGCATTTTGAAATACAGTAAATAAATGAAGGATTTTAAACTATATAGTGCTTCTTAAAAATGGATTTGCCTATATACCCCTGAGACTCTTATCTCAAGGAAAGAATGCACAAATAAAGCAAAACAATTGCAAAGTGTCATTTACTTGTGCAATATGAATATATTTTTCTATATCTTATTGCCCAATGGTATTAAATGTCTTATTTTCAGGTTCAACTGGTTGCTTCGAAGCAGTGTAAAAGACTATGACAGACTAAATCTACTGCAATTTGACACAGTCGCTACTTTTTTGCCTTTGGAAGAATGTTTCTTGTGTCAGGTAATGGTAAGAAATATATATGTGTGGCTAGTGCCATTAAAGTGCCATGGTACTTAACATTTCCGAAAAATGTATTTAGCTCTGGCGACCCTCAATCTAATGTTGATTCTTCAATTATTTCAAGTTGAAACTTTGAAACTTGAAAAAAATGTTCAAGAAATTTGAGGTCAAATTTAAAATGTTTGCTACAGAGAAATTATATGTATGATGATCATGAAACTGGTCTCATTTTGATAATATTGCTATGTAACATTAAGAGAATGTATATTCTAGTTGATATTACATGTGATAAGGTAGTAATACGAGAATTTACCTGCTTGAACAACTTTTCTTGGAGCGGCCATCTTTGATTATGAAAGTCTCGTTTCGCGAGCGAGACTTAAAACGAGATGAAAATAAAAGTACTGCACATATTGCACGCTCGCATTCTTTGACGAATTATGTCAATGCTGATGAACATAAACTAAATATACCATCTGGATCAGTTAGGGTTATGTAAATAGATCCCATTGCTCCAATCACGTGTGCATGTCATTTTTGAAAATATCAAGAAAAAGTGATTAATCGGGAATGTCTACTTCCGGGTATCAAAAACTGTATTTCTCTATGTATTGTAACGTTTTTCCCGTGGGTCAGGAATGCGGGGAAAATGCGGGGAAGGTGGACCCTTCCGCGTGTTACTTAATTGCGGGATTATACGGAGCGGCGTTGACTCCGCTCGCTACAGTCGCCTGAGATGTTACTCCAAGGGAATGCAAGGGGAAAGAAAGTATTACGCAATCTGGGTTTGCACTACACAAGTTCCCTCCGGAACTCAATACAATACAACAATGAACATTCAAGTACAGAATAAAAGTAAAGTTATATATTTGCTCTTTATGAGCCAAACAATGCTTTAGAAACAATAGAAAATTATGTACAAAGTCGAGCTCAAACTACCCTAAACTATATAATCACTAATGCCTTAAGGCAGAAAAAATACATGTGATGTTACTTGAAGGTCTCTAAAGTTACTATAAGAAAGTAAGATCAAATCGTGTTTCACTTTAATCAGTTCCACAAAAGATAAAGGTTGATATGACTTGAATGCCTCTAAAGTCTTCTTCAGCAATTGTGGGATGCTGTTCTTTGTATTCTTTTGTCTGTCCTGAAATAAAATGGCGCTCCTGGCCACGGGACCCCATTGTCTACTTATCAAGTTTATTAATGTACAACCTGGTGCAAATATTCTTAAAATCCGGAATCCAAGTTGCAATCGGGTGCAACGATCCTACTCAATGGGTGCAAAAGCCCTTATATCTCTTGATCATAGGTGCAATGTTTCTGTGTGCCCCTGTTCCTAACCAGGGTGCAATTCCGCTATATGCCCTTGTTCCTTAACCAAGGTGCATCTTGCCCCTGTTCCTTAACCAGGGTGCAAGTCCTTTTATGTGCCCTTGTTCCTTAACCAAGGTGCACCTTGCCCCTGTCCCTTAACCAGGGTGCAAGTCCTTTATATGCCCTTATTAAACTTTGCACCTATGTCCAATTTGCAATCCCTTTATATGCCCTTGTTCCTTAACCAAGGTGCATCTTGCCCCTGTTCCTTAACCAGGGTGCAAGTCTTCTATATTCCATTATCCAAGTTGCAATCAGGTGCAAACGTCCTTAAATCCTTTATCCAAGTTATAATCACGTGCAAATGTCCTTAAATCCTTAATCCGAGGTGCAACAGGGTGCAAATGTCCTTAAATCCTTAATCCGAATTGCAACCGGGTGCAAATGTCCTTATGGGGTGCAACCTGGTGCAAATTTGCTTTAATCCTTAATCCGAGGTGCAACCTGGTGCAAATATTCTTAAAATCCGGAATCCAAGTTGCAATCGGGTGCAACGATCCTACTCAATGGGTGCAAAAGCCCTTATATCTCTTGATCATAGGTGCAATGTTTCTGTGTGCCCCTGTTCCTAACCAGGGTGCAATTCCGCTATATGCCCTTGTTCCTTAACCAAGGTGCATCTTGCCCCTGTTCCTTAACCAGGGTGCAAGTCCTTTTATGTGCCCTTGTTCCTTAACCAAGGTGCACCTTGCCCCTGTCCCTTAACCAGGGTGCAAGTCCTTTATATGCCCTTATTAAACTTTGCACCTATGTCCAATTTGCAATCCCTTTATATGCCCTTGTTCCTTAACCAAGGTGCATCTTGCCCCTGTTCCTTAACCAGGGTGCAAGTCTTCTATATTCCATTATCCAAGTTGCAATCAGGTGCAAACGTCCTTAAATCCTTTATCCAAGTTATAATCACGTGCAAATGTCCTTAAATCCTTAATCCGAGGTGCAACAGGGTGCAAATGTCCTTAAATCCTTAATCCGAATTGCAACCGGGTGCAAATGTCCTTATGGGGTGCAACCTGGTGCAAATTTGCTTTAATCCTTAATCCGAGGTGCAACCTGGTGCAAGTATCCTTAAATCCTTAATCCGAGGTGCAACCGGGTGCAAATGTCCTTATGGGGTGCAACCTGGTGCAAATTTGCTTTAATCCTTAATCCGAGGTGCAACCTGGTGCAAGTATCCTTAAATCCTTAATCCGAGGTGCAACCAGGTGCAAATGTCCTTAAATCCTTAATCCAAGTTGCAATCAGGTACAAATGTCCTTATGGGGTGCAACCTGGTGCAAGTATCCTTAAATCCTTAATCCGAGGTGCAACCAGGTGCAAATGTCCTTAAATCCTTAATCCAAGTTGCAATCAGGTGCAAATGTCCTTATGGGGTGCAACCTGGTGCAAGTATCCTTAAATCCTTAATCCGAGATGCAACCGGGTGCAAATGTCCTTATGGGGTGCAACCTGGTGCAAGTATCCTTAAATCCTTAATCCGAGGTGCAACCGGGTGCAAATGTCCTTATGGGGTGCAACCTGGTGCAAGTATCCTTAAATCCTTAATCCGAGGTGCAACCGGGTGCAAATATCCACTATGGGTGCAATCGGGTGCAAATATACGCTATGGGTGCAACCGGGTGCAAATATTCTTAATCATAGGTGCAATGTCTCTGTGTGCCCCTGTTCCTAACCAGGGTGCAATTCCTCTATATGCCCTTGTTCCTTAACCAAGGTGCATCTTGCCCCTGTTCCTTAACCAAGGTGCAAGTCCTTTTATGTGCCCTTGTTCCTTAACCAAGGTGCACCTTGCCCCTGTCCCTTAACCAGGGTGCAAGTCCTTTATATCTCTTATTATACTTTGCACCTATGTCCAGGTTGCAATCATGGGTACAAATGCCCCTTGCACCAATATGGGGTTGCAAGTTGGGTGCAACTCTCCAAAATATCCTTTACACCTAATCCAGATGGTTATAATGGGTGCAAATATCCCTTGCACCTATATGGGGTTGCAAATTGGGTGCAACTCTCCCAAATATCCTTCACACCTGGTGCAAATATTCCTTGCACCAATATGGGGTTGCAAGTTAGGTGCAACTCTCCAAAAGTCCTGCACACCTATTCCAGGTGGTTATTATGGGTGCAAATATCCCTTGCACCAATCTGGGGTTGCAAAGTCGGGTGCAACTCTCCCAAATCTCCTGGGGTTGCAAGATTGAGTGCAACTCTCCCAAAAATTCCTTCACACCTATTCCAGGTGTTTGATATGGGTGCAAATATCCCTTGCACCAATATGGGGTTGCAAATTGGGTTGCAACTTTCCCAAATGGTTGATATGGGTGCAAATATTCCTTGCACCGATATGGGGTATGCAAAGTTAATTGCAACTCTCCCAAATGTCCTTCCGTTGATTATTGTGGGTGCAAATATCCCTTGCACCGATATGGGGTTGCAAGTTAGGTGCAACTCTCCCAAATGTCCTGGGGTTGCAAGATTGAGTGCAACTCTCCCAAAAATTCCTTCACACCTATTCCAGGTGGTTGATATGGGTGCAAATATCCCTTGCACCTATATGGGGTTGCAAAGTTGGTTGCAACTCTCCAAAATATCCTTCCGTTGATTATCTTGGGTGCAAATATCCCTTGCACCAATCTGGGGTTGCAAAGTCGGGTGCAACTCTCCCAAATCTCCTGGGGTTGCAAGATTGAGTGCAACTCTCCCAAAAATTCCTTCACACCTATTCAAGGTGGTTGTTATGGGTGCAAATATCCCTTGCACCTATATGGGGTTGCAAATTGGGTGCAACTCTCCCAAATATCCTTCACACCTGGTGCAAATATTCCTTGCACCAATATGGGGTTGCAAATTGGGTGCAACTCTCCCAAATATCCTTCACACCTATTCAAGGTGGTTGATATGGGTGCAAATATCCCTTGCACCTATATGGGGTTGCAAAGTTGGTTGCAACTCTCCAAAATATCCTTCCGTTGATTATCTTGGGTGCAAATATCCCTTGCACCAATCTGGGGTTGCAAAGTCGGGTGCAACTCTCCCAAATCTCCTTGGGTTGCAAGATTGAGTGCAACTCTCCCAAAAATTCCTTCACACCTGTTCAAGGTGGTTGTTATGGGTGCAAATATCCATTGCACCTATATGGGGTTGCAAATTGGGTGCAACTCTCCCAAATATCCTTCACACCTGGTGCAAATATTCCTTGCACCAATATGGGGTTGCAAATTGGGTGCAACTCTCCCAAATATCCTTCACACCTGGTGCAAATATTCTTTGCACCAATATGGGGTTGCAAATTGGGTGCAACTCTCCCAAATATCCTTCACACCTATTCAAGGTGGTTGATATGGGTGCAAATATCCCTTGCACCAATATGGGGTTGCAAAGTTGGTTGCAACTCTCCAAAATATCCTTCCGTTGATTATCTTGGGTGCAAATATCCCTTGCACCAATCTGGGGTTGCAAAGTCGGGTGCAACTCTCCCAAATCTCCTGGGGTTGCAAGATTGAGTGCAACTCTCCCAAAAATTCCTTCACACCTATTCAAGGTGGTTGTTATGGGTGCAAATATCCCTTGCACCGATATGGGGTTGCAAATTGGGTGCAACTCTCCAAAATGTCCTGGGGTTGCAAGTTAGGTGCAACTCTCCCAAATATCCTTCACACCTATTCCAGGTGGTTGATATGGGTGCAAATGTTCCTTGCACCGATATGGGGTTGCAAAGTTGGTTGCAACTCTCCCAAATATCCTTCACCCCTATTCAAGGTGGTTGATATGGGTGCAAATATCCCTTGCACCAATATTGGGTTGCAAAGTCGGGTGCAACTCTCCCAAATCTCCTGGGGTTGCAAATTGGGTGCAACTCTCCCAAATATCCTTCACACCTATTCCAGGTGGTTGATATGGGTGCAAATGTTCCTTGCACTGATATGGGGTTGCAAAGTTGGTTGCAACTCTCCCAAATATCCTTCACACCTATTCCAGGTGGTTGATATGGGTGCAAATGTTCCTTGCACCGATATGGGGTTGCAAAGTTGGTTGCAAC